TTACTACTACTACTACTACTACTACTACTACTACTACTACTACTACTACTACTACTACTACTACTATTACCCGTTCACTGGGTTCAGCGCTGCACGTATACCCGTAATAACGTTTACTTTCACCCGGAAGAGTTCAGCCGGCGGCGAAGCAACGAGCGCTGACTTCCAGTTTCGCCAACCCCGAGAACAAAGGCTCGATCGACAAAAAAAAAAGAAGAAGAAAAGCGATCGCCCAACTTAAACCACAACGCCAGATTGTACTACGGTACACACGCCAAGACGAAAAAGGCGGCGCGCCTCTGAAGCGTTTCGAAAAAAGCAGAGCCGCTCGACAGCGCCGAAAGACCTCAAAACGCTTGGCCGAACACGAGGTCTCGGAGAAGTGGAAGGAAAACGCGATAAAAAAAAAAGGCGCGATGTGCTCCTGCGCGGCAATTACACATATCGCAGAAATACACCTCGAGTTCAGCGTCGTCAAAAGCAGCACACGTTTGTATATATATATATATATATATATATATATATATATATATATATATATATATATATATATATATATATATATATATATATATATATATATATATATATAAGGGAAAGAAGTGTATACCTAAGGGCTCGTTTTTCGTGTTTTAACACAATATTAATGAGATCTAACAGAGAGTAATGCCAAGGAATGTACATGGGAAGTTATTAGAACCAATGGAATGTAAATAAGAAGAAAGAAAAGTGGATGAAAAAATAACCAGCCGTGAGCACACACACACACACACACACACACACACACACATATATATATATATATATATATATATATATATATATATATATATATATATATATATATATATATATATATATATATATATATATATATATATATATATATGTGTGTCTAAAATCTTCCCCTATACTTTCCTTGGCATTATTGTCTGTTAGATCTCATTATTGTTGTGTAAAACACAGAAAAACGAGCCCTTAAGTATACACTTCTTTCCTTAATTCATTAACGAGGGTCTCGTACTGGCAGACTTAGTGCCTTCAGGTTGAATACGAAGAACTATTGGTCAGCTGCCCACTCGTAACAAGTTCACGTGCTACGTGACGCCAAACAGGCTCAAAAGAGTGTGCCACACTCGCCGCCATGGCTACTGGTGGCGCTGACTGACGCTCCCACGTTTAATTCACATACAAAACCCAATAAAGTGGCTGGGGGGGATAGCTGTCGAGGTAGTTCAGTGGTAGAGCATCGAGCGCGTCATTCGAAGGTCGCAGGTTCGGATCCTGCCCACGACAAGTTATCTTTTCACCCACTTTTCTTCATATTTACATTACGATTCGGTCTAATATCTTCCCCTATACTTTCCTTGGCATTATTGTCTGTTAGATCCCATTATTATTGTGTAAAACACAGAAAAACGAGTCCTTAAGTATACACTTCCTTCCTTATATATATATATATATATATATATATATATATATATATATATATATATATATATCGCACTTCAGCGTCAAGGCTACATAATTTTTTCTTCTACATTTTTTATATATAACTTCAGCATCCCCAGTACATAATTGCACTTCTTTTTTTTTTTCATTCTACATTTTCTATGATTTAACGTTTTATTTTTTAGTTTTTAGATTCGTGTCACACGTACCTCACCACCTTCATGATTTCCCTGAACAATGCAAATCTCACATTTGAGGCGTGCAATATTTGAGGCCTCAGCGTGCCCCAGCGTCAAAAGCTCCGACTGTTCGGTCCATTTCCCTCCTGTTTCGTTACGAGGCAGCCACCTGAAGATAAACCGCCACTTTCACTTACCACGTAGTTAGTTCCCCCCTCCATTTTCCACACGCTAGCACGCAAAACACGCTATAGTCTAGCACGGCGTTTTTTTTCAAAGAAACAGCCCACGGTGTGAGCTGCCGTCGATAGTGCGGGATATAATAGCAGAGCGCGAACGGCCAAGAGCGCCGTCACCATGACGGCCAGACAATCGTCTGTCTGCCTATCGGCAAGGCCTTTCCGTAGCAGACGACGTCCGTGCCGCCAACAAAAGGTTATCGCCTTTACCTGCGCAAGTTCGTACGGTCTGTCGCCGCCGCCAACGAGCCTTCCGACCCTGAACGTCGGCGACGCAACGCAGTAGACAACACTTGCTCGCGTTATCCAAATTGGCCGCGTTATACTGTAGTTGCCGACAAATGAGTTAAAAAGGGACACTAACGACAGAACTATTTGTCCCGTATTAGTACATTAGTTTCTCGCGGCACCAAAAAAAGCCAGGCTCGCATCGAGAAGAAACTCGGTAATCAGAAAAAAACGAGCAAAAAAAAAAAAAACGTGGGCGCGACACCACTTTGAAATTCCCTCAACAGTCCAACTGTGACGTCATGGCGACTGTCGCCATGACGTCACAGATTTCCGCGGTTCTACGTGGGCTCGGAAGCGTGGCAGCTTGGGGCTAATCGGTAGGCACGTGACGATAGTTACAGCGCGAGAACAGAAGGACGACACGGCGACAACACAGTGTCCCTCTCGTCTCTGAGGCCGAGGACGTCGTCTTCTGGGTGAGCCAGAGCCTTGACAGTCACGGGAAATTTTTCTGAGCCGCTGGGGCCAAAACACGCGCGCGCTTAGAACACCCGTGACGTCATTATCGAAGATTTCACCGGGAAACTTAAAAATGACACCTTTAACGTTGACTTTTTTTTCGTCCCTACATTAACCTATGGTGATGAAATGAATGACACTAAAGGTCGCATTGCATATTTTATCAGTCTAAACTAAGTGTCAGTTTAATGTACCTTTAATTTTTGTCGTATTAGTAAATTGCCATTTCGGCATCTGCTAGGTCCTACGTAATCGGTTATCGGAGAAAATCGTTTGCATTGCGTTTTGGATCCCCCCCCTCCCCCTTCAACCCGAAAATCCTCTCACACAGAAACTTAAAAAAAAAAACATTATTGGAGCATGTGGCTAAAAAACGACCAAAAAATGGGGGGTGGGGGGGCTCATATTTGTGACGTCACAGTGACGTTCACGTGCCGAAGTTCCGGCGCGAAATTTATCCTGTGCCGGCGAAATTAGTGAAAATGAAGTTTCAACCGATTTAATTTTTCGCTTTAGTGTTCCTTTAGGCACTTAGATGTCCGCCAGCAGGTGTGTACGCCTAACTTTATATAGGTATGCGATTTACTCTGTGCAAAACGTTTCACAACACTAAGCAAACTAAAGCACTTCATTAAGTCCAGCGCTTCTTAGAAAAATAGGAAAATGTTTTTTTTTATTTATACATACTGCAGGCCACATTCGGGCCCAAGCAGGAGTGGTGACAAAAAAATGTACATGTGGATAATGAACGCATGATCGACCAAAAAAGAAAAATAAGTAAAAAAATACCAAAAGTTTTAAACATACGGTGTTGTTTTCCATATACGTATTATATGTTGTTCCATTATATGCACGCAAGTTAACTGTTTGTTCATGCTCCAACAACTCATCTGGACGAAAAACCCTGCAAGATGCTTTCGCTCAGTACGCTTTGGGCGGATTTTCAATTTCGGCTTTCAACGAGCGGTGTCCGTAGAAGTAGAAGCATACTTTTCCATTAGAAGTATGGCAGCTTGGACTAGTTGGTATGACATGACGATAGTTATAGCGCGAGAACAGAACGACGACACAGAGACAAGAGTGTGCCGCCGTTCAGTTCTCGCGCTACAACTATCGTCATAGTTTTCCCATTTCGCACCACCATGTCCGATTGGTTATCGAAATTCGGTCATCAAAAAGTATATCAATGTCATATAATCTCCACACAGACTCGGTCGATCCCCGCGAGTGGCCATGAGCCAAGTTAGAGGCCCGACCAACAACACCACCAAAGACACTTCACACGCAAACTAAAAGAACATGTGCGTAAGTACAAACAGATGCAGTGCCTTCATTTCCTATAGGAACCGCGATCAACTTCATATATCTATTACACGTCGCCCGTGTGTAGATGAGCACCATGTGTGGATTTGGAATCGACGCGACGCCAGAATGCCAGCCTACACTACCGCCGCATCTGGAATGAATTAAGGGTGCGCTCCAGGAGGGAAGAAGCCACTTCCGCCAGTTTCGTTTTTATTTTTTTTTTTACTTCGATGACCGCCGCAACAAACTCGTTCCCGCTGCAGCTGCCCACTCGCGTTTTTGTCGAGGAAAACGTTAGCCGAAACGTCGCCCCGGGCTAAGGCAGGGTGCCAAAAGAAAAGACCCACTGCTACAGAACTAGCGATGCGCGTCACTGGTGGGAGGCTTTTGTTTCGCGATAGGCACGGCCTCGGAAAGACTCCCGTCTCAAATCCCGAGTCACGCACGCAGCCAACCGCACAAATGCAAATCGCAGACAACCTTCGACCTTGCAAACAAAAGCCACCGGCACCAACATCTGTCGTACTCCTCCTAAGCGTGTGGAATACCAAAGCGGCACTTGCGACGATTTCGTCTGCAACTGGCATCGCTTGGTGCATCATACATCGACGGAGTTAGCAACGACCAGCGCTTCCGAAGAAGTTTCGAATAAGAAAACGCGGTTTTGGATCTTCTCGGAATAATAAAGATGTGCTCCTTCTTGGAAGACCTCTCCAATCTCCCGATATCGGTGTGTTTTGCTCCGCGTACCCGAGTGAAGAAACTTGGGGTACAGTTTCCGTTGAACCCTCCGGCCAAGCTCTGCGCAACGACGAAACGAAAAAAAAAACACTCGCTCGACAACTGCGAAGCCCGTGAGTACATTCACCAAGCGCTTATGACCCTAAAGACGTGGTTGAGGCCGGAAAAGTCAGTCCGTAGTCGAGCTGTCGGTTGCAAAGCAAGGCTATCCGTCGGTTGCCGTAGTTAGGCCTAGCGAGGGTACCGACCGATTCCGTAGGGTCGTGGTGCAGCTTTGGCGGTACCCTCGACGTGAGAAAGCGCAAACAGGAGTAGTAGGTTTGTTCGAACTCACCTGTCAGTCTGATCTTCATAGATCCATGCCTTCTCGTGGGTGGATTAGCCATGACGGATACAGACGGGACGGGGGTAATCCCCCCCGCTCCGAAAAAAAAAATAATCGCGCACGCACACACCACACACACACACGACGCTCCCTCTGTCGCACGGGGCACTTTTTTTTCGCCGATCGGGTCACATCGGCACAAGAAGATCACACATCCTGAAGACACGACGGACTGTCTCCTATTAGAAGCATAGTGGGGACGCACGTAGTAGCGAAGCACAGTTTGCCTTGCTGAATCGTCGGCTCCGCCGCCGCCGCAGACATTCCTACGAGCCCCCGATGCACACACACAAACGCGCACGCCAAGTCCGACAGCCCAAGAGAAGGGAGAACTGGCGAATGAAAAAAAAAACAGCAACCCAACAAACTTCGGCAGCGAGTTTTGTTTGCGGACGGCGACTGGCTGGTTGGTGGGATGCGGCTAATGCAGCAGCAGCTGGCGCGAATCAGGTTTGACTGATGGCGCCATCTTACAACATGCAATCAAACTACGTGACAAAAGCAAACTAAGCGTAGACTCACTTTCGTAGCCAATACTGATTACGAAACTGTTGTTTTACAAGTTGTAACTTGGGTGGCTGGAGAAATTAATGCAAGCGCGCGTTTTTCAAGTTTGGTAAGCGAGTGGAATACTGTTGTTCCCATCGGCCCAGAATCTGACGGTTGGCGCTACAAGTGTATAAATAAAGAAAATAGTTCGCATTGACATTACCGCGGCTGCCAACCTGGGGCCCCAGCTGATTGAGATGCCGTGCAAACTCTTCCACGTGGAGAAGTGACGGTTAGATCAGATTGGTGCAGGTGCCCCTCGCCATCTTTTATATTCCCTCTTGGCGCGGCTCGTAACCAGAAGAAAGTGGGGAGAACACGAAAAATTGCGGCAACCGAACAACTCTATGTGCTGGGGTGACACAAATCAGACCATGACGGTCATTTCGCTCTTTAAATGTGGGTCTTATTTTTGTTTACGTAAGAATTAAGACGTGCTTTGAAATAACGTTTAAGAAACGAGCACGAAGTCCAAGTTCCAGTTACTTCATTGTTCTATTCAGTTTTCTTTGAACTGGTCGAGTGGCTTTTGCGAGTTTCATAGTCTCAAGCTACTGAGGGATATTGAACGCCGGTACATACCAAGAAGCAATCAGCCTATGAAGAAAAGATGTGCTATACTTAACTGTCGAGCAACTCAAACATGTGATGTTCTCAAGGTAAATCACCTAGCCTGAATATTTACACCAATGCTAACGAGATGAAATTTCACAGTTGCCACCATCTTAGTTAGTACCCCAAGCCCAGAGAGCTTGTCTGTGGCATCACGCAAAGCTATGTATATTTAGTCAACGAAAAGTAATGCGGTTGCACGTCATATTTCAGGGCTCACAAACAGTCGACTACACAGAAAACTTGTACAATGTAAATGTGATAAACATAGAAAGTAAACATGGAAAATATCTGTTTGAGCCACGTGACGACTTATATGTGTAAGCCCATTCATATGCGTAAAATTTTTATCACATCCAGAGCAAATTCACGGCACAAGTTCTTTGGGTACAAAGAACACAACCAACATGATGGGCATTATTTGTAGCTTAAAGGGGCCCTGAAACACTTTTTTGAGTAACCATGGAATTAATTCACAAAAAAAGCGTATTACCTCACAAATTGAATGTTGCAAAAATTTTAAGAATCCGTCCAGTATGAGCGGAGTTACAAATATTTGTCACACGCTGCAATCAATCACAAGCAGGGAGGGATGGGAGGGGCAAACAAAAAATGTCACTCGTGACCTTGAGCATTTGTTTCTTACTTTTTCTTTGAATACGCCACTTTTTCAGTGCGATCGCGCGCGCACAAGTAACAGCTTTTTGCGGGGACCTGTGTAACAACCAAACGCGCCGTGTTCAAATCGGCCAATGACTGATAGATGGGCTTACCGGGCTTCTTTTCCGTGATTTGTCGAGAGAAGATAAGCTATTTATAGCTGACTGTAATCATTTATTGTGAATTCCAGGTCGCGTGCTGTGCTATAATATTTGGCTCGCGTGTTGTCGGGGCCTCTACTACCAATCGGCAGCGCTTTCTGACCATGCTCAAGAAGTGTTGCAGGGCCCCTTTAAGGCAAGGTCACTACAGGTATTTCATCCTCCAACTGCCCTTGATAATGGTTTGTGTGTGCATAATTAGGTAACGGGGATTGGGTGATCCCACAGGCATTTGCACAGAGACGGGGGGGGGGGGGGAGGAGACGGGGAACCGCCAGATCCCTAGTCACATAAGAGGGGGAAAGGGGCACACAGTCATTAGCCCCGTAAATTGACACAATATGCAGGCTGGCGCTGCAATCCCCCACCCCCTCACCTTGCTAGGGGAATCCTACGCATTCCTATGGGTGTGCCACAAACCAAAAGTTCTTTTAATCTCAGAAGTCCAAATTCTATATACTAATGACCGCACGTTAACTGGCATCAAAATCTCTGATCGGTCACAACCTACAGCAGTTTGATTGAACTCACATTCGCACGTACACACCGAAGAGAAGACCTCAAATAATTCCGTTGAGCTTCAACACACACTCGCCAGCGAGATCTCTTGTTCACAGGAAACGAGAACACCCACATTGGAGCCGCACACAGCTGTAGCCAGTTATGTTTTCGACCACTTCTATTTTCCGTTGATTATTTTTACATTTCTGATGAAATATGGCGATTGACTGCAAGCACACTTAGATATTAAAATAAGCCAAGTGGGAATTGAGCAATTCAGTTTATTCTTGTAGTTATGGAATAAAATGAGGTATAAGTATAAATAAATAAATAAATACGGTCATGAAAAAAATGCATTAAAAAGTGCTCAATAGGACTGGCTGAGCATTTCGAAAGTATCGGCTACAAAGGCAAAAGCCGCCGTCACTGGTCGGGCTTGACGAATGCTGGCAACCGACGTCCCTTGTTGCAGATGATCCCGTAGAAGGCCTGCACAACTGCAGCATATTCTCTGAAAGAAAAAAAAAAAAACAAGTAATCAGAAAGCAGGCAATTTCTCCTCGGGCGTCCTGCACCAACAAACATATGACTTTTTTAAAACGAGCTCACTTTCTTTATACCCATGCGTTCTTTGTACCCAACTGCTCTAAAAAAAGGTGAACAGGGCGTGAGCTGTAATGTTCCTGAGAAACTCCAAACAGATGCATTAAAAGCATCTACACTCAAACTTCATTATACCAAAGTCGCATCTTACGCCAAAATAAGTTTGTTATATCCAAAAAACTCGCTATAAAGGCACATTCTTACCACTGCATATATTGCAAGTGTATTTTTTATTTTAACCAATATTTTGTTATATTGGGGTCTGTTATATCAAGGTATGGGTGCGTACCTATTCTTCAACTCTTTGAAGCAAAAACCAATAAACCCTTCAAATAAGTCACCATGACACCTTGAAGTAAGGCCTCAAAAGTGACACTTAGTAGAGGCTCAGAATAAACCTGACCACAACCTCGCAGAAAAGTGCTTTCCCTTGGTGCTACAATACTCTAAGAAATATTTCACCTTTCAGGGCTCCTTTTGGAGACAGAATTGGTGTGAAGTCTCATCGAGGTGTCGAGGGCTCTATTTCAACCGATATTATATACCCCAAAAATAAAGTATCAAACTCTTGTAGATCATGTTGTCCCAAAACAATAATCACAATCACATCTTTCATGCCTTTCTTTCTTTCATAAGCATAACTGGTACTTCTAGACTGCGAACGGCCTGCACATAAGTAATCAGTGTCCTGGTACGGTGACCGAACCTGAGGCCAATGTTTTTCGGGGCAACCACTTTGCGAACAGAGCGAACCAAGATGCGAACAATTATGCAGATGTTGCAAATTAGTTCTGCAACATACCGCAATCACTTCTTTCACCGCCACCCTTGTGGTATCCCGCATAACTCGCTCGGAACATTCTGCGCCCGCGTGCTCCGAGTGATTCGATACACCCTCGCACTACCAACTGCTCGCATCATAGCTCAATTTTTTTTCAACCAGAGGCTTTTTTTTTTTTTTCAGAATCCGAAGGAATTTCTTTCGTGGGTTCGTGCTACGAACATGTCGCTGTCAGTCATCCCTTCCGCAGCCCCTGCGCCACCTTGCGGAATCGTGCAGCACTCCTTTGGAATAAAAAAAAAAAAGAATATCTGTAGGAAACTTACTTGTCCGGGCACGTCGTGCTCTCCAGGAGTGGCACAACACTTTCGGCACAGACGTCCAGAACAAACTTGTCCAAGGAAGCGCATTTCTTTTCGATGTAGGCATCAAACTCCCGTCGCAGCTCCTCCAGAGAGGGGAAAGTCGGCGATGTCAGCACTGGCGACACTGTAAACGTACAGCGATGAGCGATGTTACGTGTATTCACAAGGATGCAACGTTCAAGGTATTTATGTACTATTGTCATTGATTTTAATTTATGGCCATCACGCCGTGGTAGTTTTTTGTGACGGTTTTCATTTTACCAATGCTGCATACACCATACTTGAAAGAGTAGGGCTGCTAGAGAACACAGACTAAAGGAAGGTACACAGCACTTCTGTGTAAGTGTCAGTGTGCCTTCCTCTAGCTTGGGTCCACTAGCCCTACCCTTCCAAGTATGAATTTTAAGCTCGCTCGAGAAACAACACTCTCGTATACGCCTATTTTCTCGTTTTACTCCGCCAATCCTCCTTTGCCCTCGGCAAACACTTCCCCTATGTTATAGACGATTTTCAATGTTCCTGTTCGTAGCATTTGTGAAATGTGATGTGTTTTCCCATTCTTTTATTTTGAAAGTTATTTTTGGTATGTGTACGTGACAATCGTATTTAGGCAAACTTTCACCAAATCTTTTTCTTGTGCAAAAAGAGAATTTTCGCAACAGCTCACCTTTTTGTTTTCTTATTTTAGTTAATTTCCAGTTCCCAAGCTACGACGAGTCTCAAACGTTTGCAAAACTACAGATGCCACACTTCAAAATTTCAGTTGCCTCTGAAGAAGACCTGTATGACGCCAACTGCACGGAAATTTCGCACAAGGAATAACACCGTACGGAGGGCATTGCCTTTTTCCGTGTTTATACTCTCTAGATGAATCAGCAGGGCACAATGCGTCAGCCCTGAACCTTCCTTAGCTGCAGAGCACAATCAGTGCCACACAACGGGAAACTCTTTATTTTTCTTTGACTGCATGGAAGTCTGAAAACTAAGAAGCAAACACTGAACGAGTTCTGGCCCTTCCGCTCCTCGGAACATGCACCCAACTTTCAATATCGATCAACAAGCACGTGCCCCCAGTCTTCAAGACACTGCACTGAGTTGGCTAGAGCACAGCACCAAGCTAGCCAATACGAGCAGTCCACAGGTCCAAAACTAATAGGCAAACTACGGAACGATCGCAAAGCTTAAGACGTGTGGGAAATGAGTGAAGTCCGCCATTTTTCCCCTGCGAGCACACCAGTTACTCTTACGCTTACACGTGCTCCTTGTCCCCTCTGACCAGTTCTCGACTGCAGAAGACCGTGCGTTGACTGTGGGAAAGGAATGACGCTAGCAAGAGCCAAGATCAAAAGCACACGCGGCCAGGACGAAAAAAGCTACCGAGACAGCAGTGACTGGGAGACCAAGGTGAATGCCTTAGCCCCCTTAGTTGATTGTCAACCTCAACTCATGCTCCGCCCATCAACAAGACATTCAGCCCACTTCTCCACAGGCTGGCCAATTCTATCATTCCGGAATAAACCTTGGATGTTGTGTTACAACTGTGGGTGTCGTGTTCTGAGCCATATAAAATAAGTGCGCCTTTGAAGGCGATAGTACATTGAAGTGAGTAGGAGTGCACTGCGAAGCTAGTCAGTGTCCGTAGCACCTAAATAGGAGCTAGGCCAGATAGAACTCGTTTAGAAACCGTTCGCAACAGGCATTTTGATTGACAGCCTCAATGCGTGAACTTTACACATTCAATGACAAGGTTCAGGAGACCAACTGGAATTATTGAAATTACTGTAATGACAATACATAATTATCTATTTATTGTACAACTAGTCATGCTACATTCATTCATAACCGAATTTCGACATGGCCTCCTTTACGACAGAACGCCCTATGACCATCGTCTTTAAACACAGCAGTGCCTTCACCACAGCAATCATGTCCGACAATATATTTCTACCCGAAGTGATGTAAAGAAACTTTAGGAAACAAGAATGCTTAATTTATCTTTAGTTGAGTGTTTGCAGTCTCTTCCTTGCAATATTGCACAAAAATAACAATAGTAAGCTCCATCTCCAAACGAAAACGCCATGTCCCGAAATCTTAATCAACAAATGGAACAGACTGCACACTAGACATGGAAAGGCTGATAAGATCCTCAACCTACACAAGCTTCTAATTTATACCCACTTACATTCATTTTTACTTGATTTTCCATCAGCAGCGGTCTCCTAGAAAGTGATAGAAAAGTGAGCGTTCAACAGTGAGCCACAAAAAAAAAAAAACACTTGTGTACAATTTCTTAAGAAGAGCCCATAAGGAAAAAACCAGCCTTTGCCAAATACGCCTCTTGGCTAGTGTTCATGGCTGAGCGGTTGCACTGCAGTTAACCCTGTAATTACCAGAACCAAATATGCTTTCAGAAAAACTGCGAGAACACACAGACCGTTTTTACTTTACTTATACAGTTCATTTTAAGAAATATATGAATGAAACACACTGTACCTTTTTCATAACATCTCAAGTCTGCAATAGCTGCTTATCGTGATACCTATAGTAGCTTTTAGTAACATTATTGAGGTATCATACTCAATGTATGAAATATGATACAGTGGGCATTACAGGGTTAACATATGTAGACTATGCCCAAGATAAGAAAATTTTACGTTACCAAGTAAACAGAAAATCAACAAGCTAGCTGGTGGAAAACAGCTTTTCTCTTGGAAAAGCAAACCACTCCACCAAAACAGGCAAGACGACAACAAAACACACCGTGCAAAAGTTTATGTATAACTATTAATTACTTGCTGTGTCCACAACTTTCGAGCCTTACACCAATATTCTTCGCCTCACAATTAGTATGCGTAACTGCTAAATGTAATCACTCACTAAAATCTGGTGGCAAAGGGTAGTGCAGGCTCCGATGTAAGTGCTCGAGTGAAAACTACGCTGACAGGTCACAGACCGAAGACGGTGGAAACAAAAGCATGTGCTTTAATTAGCCCTAAATGGTGGCGTTTCAATCAGTGAGCGATGTACAAGGTAGTCTGCATCTAAGGTGAACATATCATTAGTATTCGAGTACTCATAGACACGGATGTTCAATACCAATTTTTGAAAATTATTATTCTGTTCATCGAGCACACTACAGTCTATTAAATAATGGTCATTTCCCTTGTCAAGTACAATAAATGGTTTTAGTGGTTTGAATGTTACTGCATATGTAACATGCTTTTTTCCCCTGATATTTGCTAGTTAAACTCGACCCTCACGTTACAACCAAATATTTAAATTCTAATGTTGCCTAAAAAGTGTGACAATGATACACACAATTATTTTATTTCTGTTTTATTTTATTTTCCTCCTGGAAGTCAAGCCTCAAACTCAATCCGACATTACTCGAACGAAATCAATACTTGCCTCGAATTCGCTTCAAACCTAAAATTTACCGATCGCACAGGCATAATTAACATGACTGAAAACCTAAAATTTTACGCACTAACTTACCCCAGAGCCATACAAGGCCAGAAACTGTGCTCGCTCTGGGCACTCGGCGTTCGACGCAGCGCACTTCCGCGCTTCGTCGACTAGAGCAGAGAACTCGCGCAGTTGTGCTTGAACCTCCACAGAGCTCAGCATTTCTCTGTAACATAATTAGAAATCTAATTGATGAATTGGGAATGCAAGTGCTTCAAGAAGCAATTAATGTCCTATGCACACTGAAATGTATTGGGCTATGGCAATGCTGAATACGCACACACACACAAACACAGAAAAAGAAAGTTTTTGTGCAAGTACTGTGGAGGTGCAATCACCCCTGTAAAGTCGTTTTCGCCGCATGGCACAGACGTGTCTCGTAGACAGGTCTACCACTGAGCAGTAGATCTCACAGTGCTCGTGAGAGTTCATCATCGCAATCATCATCATCATGGTTACCGCAGTAGCACCAGCAGTGCCCCCTAGCAGCACGCCGCCAGCGCTGGCAATGTCGCCTTCGCGTTACCCAACTTTTGTTGTTATGTTGATTGAGTGTATTGGAATATCTTATAAGGTTGTTTCAGCCAGTCACTAGTGAGGTATTTGATTCGGCTGACGATACCGTCAAACGTAGAAGTAGTTCGATAAATGGCTTGGTTTGGTTCGACCGCGTACTCCGTGTGTTCCAAGAGCGTGCCTCATTTCGAGACCCCACAGAACTTTATCAGTTAGTTTCTTTTCTCTTCGGTATCCACGCTCTTGCTCGAAGTGAAAGGTAGACATCACAATATGTTTCCTACAGCTACAGGGCATCAGAAACAGGCACGAGAGCACATGATGGTCGCAACAACTTTGCCTCTGAGCACACAAATCATTGAAACAGCAATGCACATGCACATATTTCGAAAGACTGCTACATTGCTGACAAATACAATGCTTGCAGACTGTGCTTCAGCCATTGCATGGTCTGCATAAGTATCGTACGGTAACAACAAAAGGTTCGACGGAACATCCCTACAGCAAAAGTGTATTCGAGAGATCAACAGCAAATGCACAAGTAGGAACAAAACAAATGTCACATAACCAGAATGGTCAAAGAGGGCTTATCAGATATGTCATAAATAATTGTTTTGTTAATTAGTGATTACTTTATTAACAGAAGCTTACCTAATCCACTTTCCTGCATGCATGTACCTAAGCGAATTTCTCTGTAGTTTTCTTGCCTTGGCAACATTATGTTTCAATTTTTTCTTTCACAAGGTCAAAAAAAGTGACATCAAACAAGTGATGACAATGCAGACCTGGTAGCCTGGCTGATAAAATCCAAGCTTCTGAAAACCTGCAACCGATTTCTGGTCAGCCAGGATGCAAAAAAGGTGAAGTGCAACGCTAAAGCAGTTCATTACAGATGAAAAGTTTGTCACCGAGCTTAAATTACAGGTGCAGTCTACACTCAAACCTCATTACAACAAAGTCACAACTGCCAAAAAAACTTCAATACGTATATCCAAAAATTCGTTATAAATGATAATTCGTTATATCTGTGGTCATTATATCGAGGTTTGAAGTGTATTACACCAATAACATAAGATTCCTGATACTACAAATTGCTAAGAGAAGCGAGAGGTTCGGTTAAGCGAAGCACAACCGGGAAGAAGTTAACGAAGCACTTGTGACCATTTACTCCACCACGTCAGAGAAGTGAAAGCGAGTGTACGACGCCGTGTTACAGTGCAGTGCCGATTACAGCTCGGTTTGTTTAAGCTGCGGTCGTTAATTTTGTTCCCATGCCAATACGGTGGAGGCAATCAGGTTATCCCACCACACGCTTTCTGTGATCCCTGAAAGAGCACCATATCGTAAGAAAACATTTTCGAGTGTTCATACTAAAAAAAAACGTCAGCCATCGCAGATAAACGTCTGTCAACACAGCAAAAGAACGTGTGTTTCGGGAATTCAATTTGAATGGTGGAGCTGAGTACAATCAAACAAAGTTTAAAGTAGGCAGAAAGGCCGTTAAAGTTGAACAATCACTATGCAAAATAATCAGCCTGGAATTTTCACTGAATCAGACAAAGATGAAGCCGTGAAGCCAGCTCATTGTAAAGAAAGTATAAACTGTGCACCTGAAAGTACAAAGAAATGACAACGCAAATTCGTCAAAACACAATAATGTGCACGGTGAAATGCGCTTAACAGTGCACGAAATGTTATGATGCCCGTGGATAAAACTTCACAAAAGAAGTTTAAAATCTTGCAACAACAATAAAAGCAGTCAGGTGACAAAGCTAGTGTGAGAATTTGGAATCACTTAGCTGTTCACGTAAAATCTAGAGCAAAATGGTCACCACATTCACTGGGTTGTTCCAGTGCACGTTCACAATACCCAGCAAATAAGTTATTACTTAAAATTTGTTTTTTTAGTGTAGTTAAAAATATCACAGTTTCTTGTGTTAGACATTGCAGCTTTAACGTTTCATAATCTGGGTGCACGGGGTTTCAAGTATCCCCTAAAAGTGCCGGAGATATGACCTATAATTGGCATAGATACAAATACCAGTAATGTTATTTACTCAAAAACTGTTTTAGCCATAACATTATAATAGGCTCTGGTATTATAAGGCTAACTGTGTGGCTAGACACAATTTGATAGTCCGTGCTATTCGCATTTCTAATTTCCCAGCATGATGAACAAGTGCGAAAGGCCAGCACGTTTTTTCAACCAATTTGAAACTTTCAAGACCCCAAAGAGCTGATGAGTCAGCCTAGATTTTCACTGAATCAGACAAACACGAAGAGATAATAGGCGTTCTCGAGCTGAAAATGACAATGACGAAGATGTGGCACGACCCTAAAAAATTGATTCTTTAATCTTAAGGTTATGCACACATCTTAACGGTTATGCACACATCTTAATTTTAAAAAAATTTTCACATAAAAAAGCTTCCAGTCTTCGGCAACATGACACGTGCAAATAGTGACAAATTGAACCCTTTGTGGTCCGAAACTTTTACACACTTTCATCCGTTACGGTCCGCAACTAAAAAACTCAAAGCTTAAAGGAACCAAGGCACCAAATTTGGAAGACATGCTTGTGTTGTTTGAGGCTCCTCCCCTTCTGACCAATTATTATTGACAAGCGTTGCCTTTAAGATACTCTGGTTTTAAAGTAAGGGTGCGTGCTCGTTCCGAGTATTCATATGCGATTGTCATTTTCTGTGGTTTGGCGTAGATAGGGGGTCCCCTCGGGACGCTGCAAAAGGTCAACCAAGTATTGTTGGCGTTACAGAACACTTGCAATGCACGACACAATGCCTCGTCGGGCATTCGGTGCGGATTATTGCTCATCACCCTTCTCGATGGGTTGTCGGGCGGTCTCAAGGTGGTTCTGGCTGCTTAAGCCCCAGGCATGCTTTTCTTTTTTCTGAGGGGGAAACGCTCAACGCATCTACATGCATTGTTTCTTTCTCACAGCCAGGTCTCCCTATTTGAAAACAGTGGATTCAGAGTCACCGAAGCTTGAGCACACGTAGAAGCACTGTCCTGCTGCGGGGCGCTAGTTTCCTATGATATTTAGGTGGCCATTTTGAACTGACAGAGAATCGTTCTGAATTAACGATGCTAGCCTAAATTATACGATGCATTGGAGCATTTCCGATTCAATTTCGGCATTACCATACACAAAGCTACAAATCACTGTAAAAAACTCGCAAACGAAACTTTCGCTGTCAGTGAAATATACATTGCTTACGTACTCTTTTTTACCTATGGGACATACTTTAGTGAGATAATATGTGCGTGAGCTAACTGTGAAAAAAAACCTATTCAGCTACGGCCCTCCGCAGACAACTGTGGCCATGTTCCATTGTCAGGCAGGGCCCAACAATGGCCACAAAAGGTTAATTGTTGCAACTTGAAAAATAAATGCTGCCACAAAGCTAGCACATGAAGAAGTCAAACTAAGCGCACCTGTATGCGATTTTATCGCTTTTCTTCGGCGGACTCGGCTGCCGGTGCTGCTTCTGGCTTCGCGACTGGGACGTAGAGCGCGGCTGGTTTCTGGCGATGGCTACCTTTCTCACCGTCACCACCGAACGACTTCGCGAACGCGCCCCTTGCTTCGGCACAGTCGTCCTTGTCACAACTTGAGGCTGAAAAGTTCGAACAAAAGCCCAATTCATAGAAAGCAAAGCAGCTGCACCAATTCAGCACACACGTGTTCACTTGAAATGTTATCCCAAAAAATACCGGAGGTGGTTTAGGTGCATTTTAATCTGCGTTCTTACCTCCATTCAGTGTATAGCTATACATTTATTAGCATGTACAGTTGCACCCATATGTAAGACACATGCACCAGGGAGCAATTCTTGTCTTTTATATGAGGTGACAGTTATAAGCAGGATAGTACCACATAGCATGTACTTTCTTGTCAACCATTTTTCAATGCAGGCCCACTGGTGTCTCTTATACTCATTGGTCGATTACATTACTATTCATTGGTCTATTACATTACTGTACCTTATAAAGGGGTCGACTGTGATGCTACCTTGCATAGACAGACATCGCAGGAGTTAGTACGCGCATACTTTTAATGACATTAATACATATCAAATGCAAAAAGTACAAAGAAAATCGACAACAAAAACACTATTATGGTGAGATCGATGAACAAAACTGGGAAGCCCATTTGAAAATTCATAATTTTGAGAAGTCTCCCAATGATTTCTCAAGATCATTCAATATCCCAGCAGTAACCAGGAAAAAGTGAAACCCAAAACAATCAATAGGTGAATAAGGAATGTTAAGACAGTGACTAATTTTGCTCGGCGAATAAATAGACACATTGATGAACGTTTTCACACGAAAAATTTCTTGCGGAAGCTCAATGATGTCACTAGATCAAAACAATACTTCACTGATAAGCCCATTACTGTCATAAATCCAATAAAATAAAAACACCACTATACAACCTTTCCTTGCTCTATTTTAAAGTTTCAACATGTGTTGAAATACAAGACTTCGTGACACATCAGAAATAAAAAAATATGTGTTTTTCATGTAGAAGTTGCGTAAAGCTATGCAAAATTAACTTATGATGCCCTTGCCTGCGGAATACGTACGAAAATATTTATTGATGAAGAAGCAAGAAAGGCTTGAAGTTTTGGCCATAGTACATACTAGGCACTGCATGCAATAGCAGAGTTAACCATGATAATAAGAATCAAACACCAAGCACTAACCTTATCAGGCTGGCGGTCATCAATTTTCTTTGAAGCCACGGTGGAGGGGTTTGTTATCTTTGTCGAGTGCCTTTTGTTTTTACTGGTGCCGTCTCCCTGTAAAACGAATTAAAAAAACAATATTTGCACCATAGCAATGCCACACTATATGAAAGAACTACCTTTAAAACTATAGTAGGTAAACAGAGCAACGGCGAGTTTTTGCGGAACCTGTTTTCTTTATTGCAACAAAAAGTTTACTGGTGAGAGCCTAGTTACAGAATGGTAATGTGGAAAATGTTGTGAAACATTTATAATCAGAATTTTTCAACCAGCGGCAACTATGAAGTCGCACACATAACAGATAATAAAAACGGTGGGCAGTCAGCACGGCAGCATTTCTCGTTTGTGCACTATGGTCGCGTGCACTACGAGCACATTCACTGCAGCTCGACATGTTCCACTAGAAAAATTGAATTGCTGCACAAACTTGAAGGAAAACAAGAGAGACAGGAAAGAGCGCAGTACTGCGCTCTTTCCTGTCTTCCTTGTTTTTTTTCAAGTTTGTGCAGCAAGTTCAATTTTTCAAGTATGAACCAACTAGTCTGCAAAAAAGTATTGCTTCAACATGTTCCACTAGTTGCCGCGAGAGTACAACGAAAACTTCTCAGCGTCAACTAGTTTTATCTCTTGAGCAGCACAAAACAGAGTGGCAATAAATAAGATATACGTGCTCCAATCGTAAGCCCTCGTTCTGGAGCGCATGAAAGCAACAACACGAACGACTCCACAATGTAGCTTCAATGCTCTTTAGCAAGGCTACATTACATACTAAGTATTTTAACTTTCAAGTGCGTTTTAAATAAGTAAATCACACTGGGATTGTGAAAGGGATGCTTGAACCTGCCACTATAACTAACGTTCTTTTCATTTCCACCGTGATCTAGTTGGACTGTTCTGGCCAGTCGTCGGTCCTGTTAGTTGTGCAGTTATGTCAAGCTTTAATCTTGCACTAGATGATGATGAAGAGGAATGGAAAGCTATAACATCAGTTTAGCATGTTATGAGTTCAAAGGCACGAGGACGACACACATGGCAACACTATAAACAGATTTTACTTTGAGGAAATCACACAAATTGTACGGAAGTCTCCATCAGAGCACAGTCACGTTCAACGAGAGCAGCTCTGATAATAAAACCAATGCCACACTGACATAACACTTGCCTGCGGCAATGATTATTTTTGTGTTAGTAGTTTTAAGCTCATCATGACTCCTGGTACAACAGAACAAGTGTCAAAAATTTGCTGTGCGCACTCACAATCTTTGTCAACGAATAGGCCAGAAGCCGAAGCCTTTGTGTTACAATAATAGCTAATTGAGTTAGCTGGAAGGAACTCATTAAAAATAAGGTAAGTGTAAAAAACAGGTGCAAGAGCAGAGAGCAACACAACACAAATGTGCTGTGTGTAGTTTTTCTTTTCATGTGTTGGAGCTTGCAAGCATTACTTTTTATTGCTTCTTTAGGGAGTATTGTTTTGCGTGTGCATCTCTCTGACATGTGCCATACCTGAACTTTTCCTTTGGAAACAACGACCTCATATAGTCTCCTGCATATCCAGCATTCAGTTATAATGCCCTAACGTATTACAGTAACTATGTCGGGAACTATAACTGGACACCTAACTCGTGTTCCTTACTTTTTGCCACTACATGAAAATCACGAGCAATACATACACCGTCTGCTTGCCTCAGACTTCTCGCTTTCACCAGCACAGTGTCAGCTTTCTCCAGATAGTCTAGAAGCGTTTGCTTGGCTGCAAAAGAGAAGAATGGGCAAATCAATAAAAGGCGAGCGGGCGCAGATGGTAACCTCCAGAGTTTTTTTTTTTTTTTTTTTTTTTTTTTTTTTTTTTTGTACGCAGAACACGCGCCAGCAAGTTCCGTGCATTTAAGAAACGTGGTATACTAAAGCGCTCGATCGTAAAGCTTTCTCGATTACCTTGCGCTACGTCCATTTGAGGGGTACTAGCTTGGTCTTCTTTCGTTTCTTCGGCGGCGGGTCTGAAACATAAAGTGCGGCTAACATGACGGCATGCATCGAAGAGATTCAGGGAACGCGATTCGTGAACAGAACACGATGGTTGCGAAACACCACTTCATGTCAGCCGCTTACAGCGAGTTGAACTGCCGGTAAAACTCGTTCATTGCGTCCAACGATTGCCGCTCCGCGTCGACTTGAGCTTGAACGTTCTGCAGGATGGCCATCAACCTTATAAAAAGCGAAAAAAGACAAAATCTGTCGGCAAACAGTGCGCCACTGCGAAAGAAACGAACGTGTTGCACGGAAGCTTTACCGGGTGAACACCGGTTTCCACTTCGACGATTCCGGGTCGCTCTCCATACCGGGATAGGTTCAGCGTGCTTCGAATAACACCAATATCGTTAATTGACGCTGCTGAATTCGAGGTTACGCGAAACAGCGCTCGTTAACACCTCCTAGAACTGCAAAAGAGACGCCGGCGCAAACACTCTCGATTCACAACAACTTCACGAGCCGCCCGTGCCGCCATTCGATGGTTTCGGTTTTGACTGTCAGAAAAGCACCTTGCGGTGCGTCATGATTTCAATTTATATAAAGACTTCAGCAGTGCTGTGTGTCTTTCAAACACCGAAGCTTATAGTTAAGTTAGACTGCGGTGCGGTCTCAGATTTATAAAGGCACTATACTTCTTTATATAAATAAAGCAAATTTTTTGGCGCATTTTTCATGCTAACCAAGCAACCGTGAAGTGACGCCATGGCGCCGGTTGTCTAGCGTGTTTTCATCGTTCTTTCTAGTTGCTCATCGACTTGCAGTTGCCGGTAAGTGCTCAGTAAACCGCTCGAGTGGCCTAATTATGATTCGCCCTAGCACGGGCGGTGTGTATCTTACCTGCACCCTCGGCGGTTTGACGCGAAAGTCGGGCGTTGTGAAAGCTAACGATTGTCAGTCGAATCGGCATCTTCGACGTGCTCTGTTAAGCCTAGGCTGCCTGACTTGCTTCAGTATCGCAACTTGATTGCAGTCTTTCTTACCCTCTTTCGCGCTGTCTTTTCAGACTGAACGCACCGCCGATTATTCGAAGCTTCAGGCCACTGCCATCATGTGAGTACTGCCAGTGCGGGCGGCGTTTTTTTTTTTTTTTTCTTGTCGGATTAATGACGTGGTGTACGCCGATTTCTGTTTGATCGACTACTTTGATGAAGCGCGCCGTTTCCATGGAGGGTTCGGTTTTGGGAATTCCCTTGCAGGGCCGCGAGCCCCAAGCGCGTCCGGCCGTCGGATGCCAAGAAAGATCGAAGCCGCGAACGCACGAAGAAGAGCAGAACGGAATCCACAAGCAGCTCGCGTTCAAGTAGCGCTGCCAGGTAAGTAATTGGATTGGATTGAATTGGATAAACTTTTATTACCAGGTAAGTAACCAATCGCACGAACTTCGTCTCGCAACTTAGAAGTGTGGCAGCTTGGGCTAGTTGGTATGGCATTACGATAGTTATAGCGCGAGAACAAAACGACGACACAGAGAAACTTCAGTGTCCTTCTTTAGCCCGTTCGTCGGCGCACTCGTGGAAAAGCGTCCCTTACATTCGCGCGAAATGCGAGAAAAAATAGTCCTGCGGCCAGTTCGAGACTTCGTTTTTCCCGTCGTGTCTAGTGGCGTTGAAATCTGTTTACGGTTTGACCACGCGACGCAAATGCGGATGGTGAGACAGTACGTAAAAACTGCGGGTTGACGAGGCTGCGGCTCTATTTAGGTGCGTTTTGGCAGCAGCTGACACAACTGACACACGCAATGAAGTACTGTGCACACAAATAACGCCGGGCGAAATGGAATTGGCGACATGCACGCTTTGGTTAGCTCAATGCAATTTACACATGATTTTTCGTAACCCTATATGACTGTTTTATAATTTTGCTTGTATCAGAAAGTTTGCCCCTCACAAATCCCTCTCACGGTATTAATACTATTAGTAAATGAAATAAAACAATTATAAATATTGAGGCTCTTAGTATGAAGCTTCGGAAAAAATTTCATGAAGCATGTGTGTTCTTAACCACGATAAACTCGTGGTGAGGCAGGCTTTATGTGACATGCAATGAAGATTTCTATCTTAAGTAGTGATCCTTGCTAGCAGCAGCTCGCTTGTTATCATTGTTATTTTTTTTTAACATTAGCAGCAGCGGCAGTAGCTCAAGTGGAAGCAGCTCCAGCGGAAGCAGCTCCAGTGGATCGTCCCGCTCATCGTCGTCATCATCTTCATCCTCGTCCCGCTCCACATCTGTCTCGCCGAGGAGGCGCCGGAACCGCGTTTCCCGGTCAGTTTCATTTGGTGCAGCTTATGATGCCAGGTTACTCAAAATGTATCATACTATTACACCAGAGGGAAGTCTGGCACTAGTGTCTATGGGAGCTGCAATGCATGGCGCTGCAGCCAGCATCAGGATGATGGGCAGTACGCGGGTTTGTCTAAGCTTTGTTGTTCAAGAAAGGGAAAGAGGACAACCACCTGTTCATAGCACGAAGCCATAAGGAAATCCGTGCAGATTTCATCCCGTTCCTTCCGCCACCTTGAGGGCTGCCGCAGAACTCATTTGCAATACTTTGCTTTCTTCCACTTTATATGGCCTGCAGCCTTGTCGCCAGATGAAGTTCAGCAAAACATTACCGAAGCCCCACTTCCCCAGCTTTGACCCCTTCAGGCCAACCTCTTCAGGTTCATACAAAAGAAAACCGAAAGGGCCACGAGCATGAAGGCTGGGAAAATTCATGTACTACCCAGCATTCCTATGGTGGCTGGACGATTGCAGCACCACATTTAGCTCTAGCAAATCTGGGAAATTGTGTACGGTTACCTGTTCAGAACAGATCTGTAGCATCCAGTTGACTAGCATGTTCGCGTGTATGGTGTCAAAGCTGCCTGCTCTTTCTTTTTTTGATTTGCCTCGCGCTTTATCATGTGTTGTCGATGACGGTTGTCTCTCCTCTTGCAATGCGTGCATGTGCCTGTCTGGGCTGTGGTGCTTTCCTGCCAACCACTGCTTGTCCCCCCCGACCAACCACAGGCCTGCAAAGCCGGCCTCCTCTTCTGCACCCACGTAAATACACACGTTCATGCCTCATTGCTAAAGTGTCAATGCCAGTTGTGTGTACCCCTTGGCGTTAACGTTTCGCTCGACCCGAGTTTCATTTGGCCGTATTGCAACAGCTTTAGTTCATGGTCAGCATGCTGTAAAGTGTCCGTAAATCATGCCATCTGAGTAGCTTTCATGTTTTGTTCGTAAAAGTGTTCAAAAATGTTTTTTGGCTCTTCATATTTGGCATTAGCGCATTTAACACGATCAGAAACCTCAGTTTAGAATAAGATATCGCCACGCCTAGGAACACCCTGCATAATTTAACAGCTTTTTCTATCACCGCTTTGACTTTTTTTTTTTTTTCAAAGGCTTTATGCCGTATCATTATGTCGGCACGATGGAGGATGGGAACAACACGTTTTGACACTCAATTTCATTTGCTACAGCAAGCGCTACAACAGCAGCATAAGAGACAATTGAGAAAGCTGAGAAATTGTCCAAAGACTACTTATACAAGACATGTGAGAGTCGTATGTGAAAGCCAACGTTGGAGCACACGAAAGTCTAGCGCTCCCATTAGCAGTGAAATTGATTTGCTCAACATTTTGCTGTGCCACATTACATTCTGAAAATCGTTTGTACCCTTTTGGGCATCTTTTTGTTCCACAAGAATAACTGTCACCTAAAATTGTCGCTTCTCTTTTCTTGAAAACTTGGTGCTTGACACCCTCCTATCCGCAGTACACTAATACATTGATATTGCACACGGCATTTGTAACCTTCAGGCAATGGTCGCACTGTGATAACTGAGTTTATTATGGAGATTACAATAAAGTTAATTGACAATGAAAAAAATTCATTTGTTCAGTCTTCTTCGTTCTCAGTTTGAGTTGTACAGCCCTCATCGCGACCTACCAGCTAGTGTGTTGAATTGGGCTTATTGGTGTATTGGAGCACGAGGAACGATTAGCAAATGAGATGCTAGACGCACAGGACACTTGAATGCTACTCACAATAACTTTGATGCCCTGATGTACAATACTAAGTGCCTTAGACAGCACATCATCAACCACGTGTCGTTTTTGGCAAGCAAATCACAAGATACCATAATTGTAAGATACGCATTTTTGGTCCCATCTACCCCCCTTCCCACGAATATATTGAGTTCTTGGGCTTATCTTGTACTCTGATTGCGAAAAATTACATGCTGTTTGAGGCGTGCTACTCAAGGTACTTATGTTCAGTTCCCAAAAGAATTAAACTCACTGCTGTGAGTAGCGGCTGTGCGTCTCTCGTGTCTTCCTGCTTTCTCGTGCTCGGGAAAACTGACCAGCCCACCCCGTCGCTCTTCAAAGTTGTGAATAAATCGTGCGCGTCCCTGTCTTGTGGCGTACAGGTCGGCTAGCGGAGCCCGCGGAGGTGGAGGCGATGCCGGCAGTAGGACCAACGCCACCAGTTCAAGCAGCAGCCGGCGCAAGCGGACCCCTACGCCACCCCGGCCGTGCAAGATTCACGTGGGTCGACTGACGCGTAACGTCACCCGTGACCACCTGCTGGAGATATTCGGATGCTACGGTGCGGTGAAAAGTGTCGAGCTCCCGCCAGACCGTACCCACAGCCACCTCTCGCGTGGCTTTGCCTACATCGAGTTTGAGAACCCCGCCGATGCCGAGAAGGCCATGCGTCACATGGATGGAGGTTAGTACAGGGTCAGAGACACTAAAAGAATCTATTAGTTTAGACTGACGAATTAGTCTCTGAAATCTGTGCAGGACGTGACGAAGTGCAAAGCATTTCGTTCATATTTCGACCACACTTGCTCAACGAAATTTTCTGAAACCTGGCTTGTTAAGTCTCTAGCCCCTTTAGACAATGTACTTTAGTATTGGCCGATTAGAATACTACGTATTATGACATCTCGGTTGTAACGGCGTTTTCTCGGGAGCAAACGAGCGTCACGGATCCGGTCAAGAAGCACACACCCAAAAAACAGTGACGATTGTCAGCCAAAACAGCTGATGATGATTGACTGCTGCTCAGATAAGGATGAAGTGCATAATAGGCGCCTATAGTATATACTCTATACACGACCAAAATCTGTAATGTCACGATAATTGGTGTGGGATCTTCGAGGTGGCATTTCCATGCACATTATGCTTTTGTGTGTTTTTTCGCTTATTAACTGTCTCCGCGTGGCAAGCGTGGTGATTTTTGTATTGGAAAAAATCCACAGTTTCACAGCCCCTTTAAGCTGTGAAGCATTTTGCCTTTTTCTGGACAAGATTTTTTTTGATAAACTGAGATAATTACGTGATACACTAGTGCATCATGATAATCTAGAACCAGAAGTGGGGAAGAAAGCGAATGGATTTTATAAAACTGTCTGAACAAAAGTAATCGTTTGTTAAACATTCACATGTCTGTCCATGTCAAGATTGGATCATCGCACGAGTCCAACATACCATAACTAGCACATACACCAACACTCAAACCTAATTTTAACGAAGTTGCAGCTTAGAAGAAAATAAGTTTGTTATATCCGAAGATTTGTTATAAAGCAATATTTCTAACACTATATCCATTGTAAAACATTTCTTCATTTGCTTCATTACTATATTTTATTATATCTGGATTCGTTATAAGCTCAGCAAGTTTCTGCATGATTGCCAAGAATAGAAAATTCTTTACATAAAATATTGATTTCTACTGCCAACATTCCAACTAAGTAAGGCTCTGTTGCCTACTCTTTACTCGTTCAAGCTTTCGTGTAGGCATTGTTTTCTTCCGAATTATTGATTTCTACTGCCAACTTTCCAACTGAGTAAGCCTCTGTATGTATAATTTTACTTGTGGAATCTTTCATGTAGACGTTTTCGTTGCAACCCCCTCCCTCTGTAATGCTGATCAGTGTCCGGAGCAATGACATCTGCGTTTTTTTTTTTTTTTCCCTCGCATCAAACAGGTCAGATTGACGGCCAGGAGGTAACAGCAGCATCAGTCCTGCTGCCCCGACCTGTGCCTCCGCGACGGCCCAGCCCGCCCATGCCCCCAAGACGACCCCCCGCACCGCCTCCTCATTGGCGAAGGTCACCTCCACCAAGGTCACGTCCACGGAGGTTAGCTTAATTTCTTTTTTTCTTTCCTGCTTAGCCTGGACCTAGCTTGCACAGCTACAAAGTGATGCTGGTAGTCAATCTGAAACCTGTAGCCGTAATGATCGTAAGTCTTTAGGGAAGCAAAAACTGCAGCTTTGAGCAATTAGGAACCGGACTACAACATCCACATATCATGCCGAAAGTTTGAAGGGCCTGTAAACGGGGCCTTGAGCCTGTAGTGCCGTGGTCTTGGCCACACACCTATCATACATTCGTTTACTTTCCCGGCGCCTCGCACTGATGCCGTAATTGCTCGCGTCGTGTTATGCCGCCGATGCGGTTCGCGTCACACGCTGTGGACCAAAAAAGTTGTAGGTTCGGCTCCCTTTGATGGAACCTTTTCTTCTAGTTTTCTCTTTGCGATATCTTAGTATATATTTTACGTCATATCCATGACGGAAATATGTCAGTATAGGTGTGGTAGATCCTGGCATAAAGAATCTGTCTTGTCATTTGCCCTTTTGGTAAACTAACTTCAAAAACAGTGCTTGGGCGGCACATTGAACGCATTTTCTTTGCACGCAGGTCGCCTCCGCCCAGGGGACGTTCGGGCCGGTAAGTTTCTGCTCCCGTCCTTTACTGGTAGTTGTGCAAATTGTATCATGTGCACAAAGTGTTACACACCTGTGAATGTAGATGGCAGCATGCCTCTGACACTGCCGTCAGATCTCTAAGGCTGTGCTTTTGCTACCTGGATGTGCTGACAACTGCACGGCTACATTGCTTTGCTTGGTTTTCAAATAAGGAATGAAAAGTGAGTACGTAAAACCCTTCAGAATCCCTGAAAACTGCACAACAGACACCACTGCCAGCCTTCAAAAAAAAAAAAAAGGTGCATTTCATCATGTTTAATTTCTAAAATATCTCTTGCGGTGTGTGTGTGCTCCCCGCCCTCCCCCACCCCTAAATTGACCCTCGCGTTACAGTAAATACCATGATTCAAGTTGTCTCAAAAGTGTAGTGATGCACACAATTCTTCTACTTTTTTTTTCCTTCTTGGACTCAATTTAAAATCATGTCTCATGTTATAGTAAATAAGCTAAACGAAAAGGTCCTGAAAAAAAATGTGCCGTTTTAACAAGAGTGCCATTTACTCGGTAATGAACAAAGGTGCCAAAATGAAATGTAAGTCCAATCATGCTAGAAATGATTGTTCCAATCAAGCAGCAATTCTGCTTTTAGGGAGTTTTTGTGCACAGGGAATTTACTGCATCTGGTATGCAACTTTCAAGACTAAACCGCGTTGCACTGCCGTTTTTCACCGCTACCATGCAACTCCCATTAGCAGAAATCATCAGTTCGCTGACTCTGTTTCAGAAGTCCCCCGCCAAGCCGACACCGCTCTCCGAGACCGTCTCGCCGTTCGCGGTCCCCTGTCGGCACGGGCGGAGGACCCAGGCGCCACGCACGATCCAGCTCCAGCTCCTCACGTTGACCATCGCACCCGCCTCATCAAAAAACCCCCGATACACCGGCACCATGTGCCATCAGTCTCACTGCATGCTCGGCACGTTTGGTGCTTCCTAAAAACACAGCTCAACATGCCTGTCTAGGACACGCAATCGGTGCATTTCGTACTGCACGGGTGATGTCTACATCTAATCGCGCATCACGCGTAGCTGCGCATGTGGAAATTCGGACCACCTCGAAGCACGTGTTGTCAGTAGATGCCATTCGTGCAAACTAAAATGTACTGCTCCGGTGTTCTAGACTATAGTGTGTTGAGCTGTGCGCATACTGAACTACTTGTAGTCACCGTTTACAGCTGCCGACATTGTTAATTTGTACTGCTCTACATGTTGTTTTGAGTTCAATTGTGCTCCCCGTTCTCCAGATGTTTTTGTTGTACACTATCCTTTCTCATCTCATCAGTGCCAGGGAACTTCACATTGGGAATATTGCATGTTTGCAGTGGTGCCAATAAACGAAGTGCCGCAGCAGCGGCTTTTGCGCCTCCCGTGTTTGGGGAGTTTTCCCCTCCTACAAATACATATTCAGATCATCGACTCTACGTGTGGAGCTGTTGGGATAAATGCATTAGTGGAAATGCAGTTTCTAGCTTTTACAAAAGCTAGCGCCATGTGAACCTCTGCACACTTGAAGTCATTAAAAGGGTTTCGCCATCTATATTGCTGCATTTTAACTTTTTCTGTGAGACGTAGTACGAAATGCTGGTGAGAATGGTCCTTGAATATGAAAAATGCGCAAGAATCTACTCTTGGCGGCAGCACTACAGGTTCGTATAAGCAAAAGTGACTGGTTAAAGTGAAAGAAGGTGTAGTGTAAATTCTGCCATCAAGGAGTACTTCACTTTTACCGACCTTTGCGATAAGACATGTCGCACGCACAAAAAAAAAAAAGCTTGCTCGTTAATATTTCGTGTTCTGTGTGAAGTGACGTCATATGGCGTACCTATGGGTTTAGATTTCAATGCCTTCTTCATTTTTCTGCATGAATGGCTTTATACACAACTTTTTTTGTTTGTGCTTGCAAGCTTGTCTTTCAATGTGCATTAGTGATTGGCCCGAAGCTGTATTAGTTCATATTGCACACTAAAAGTAAGGATAGAAAAAATTTGAAAGTGGCCATGCAAAGAGAAAAGAAGGCAGAGTTATTTGTAATAATAGCTCTTCCCTTTGCAGTGTGGCGAGGGACACATATCGAACTATGTATTGGACAATACGAATTTCCACGCCGTGAAACGACCCGAATCTTTCTGGCGGCGTAGTTGCTGAACGTTGTGCTTGGTCCGTGAAAAGATATCGCAGCGAGGGGGAATGAAAACGTTGGGTAAGGCAAAGTAAAGCAATGGAGTGCCATGCTAACCGTCTACAACACTAGTCGAATTGAGAGATGAGCAAATGCGTAACATTGATCCCGATTTGCTAAGCCACGCCTAGGATTGAGCAACTAGCCGAGGCTTGCCCTTGGCACCGCTGGTGATTCGTATTTCTGATGGCGAAGCAGCGCCATCTGACTGTTCTTTCAAAATTACCATTCCTTCATTGCATAGGCGTGTGCACGGGGGGGGGGGGGGCAAAGTCAACCCTTACTATATTGACATAATAAGGAGTGAGGGCGCTGCGACGCACGCTCGCCCCCGCCCTGAACCTGCTGCGCACTCCTGTGCCTCATCGGGTTATTGATTTACCCCTTCGCATACTTGCGCCCATAGCTGTATTTAATTGTATTTTTTCTTTCATAATGAAGACAAATTTTGGCCAACAAATGGCTGCACGCCGCGTGATTCACCAGCCATATCGATGCGATTGGGTTCGTGCTTTCTTAGGCTAAGACCGGCATTTAAACTAACCTAACCTTAAACTAATCTAACTTGCCAGATAGCCGGATTTTCAACGAAGATTCACTACTGCAAACGGCGCAAGGACTTCACACGTCAAAGGTACACAGGACACAATGCCTTCGTCCAGCGTGCTCTTCATATCCACGCCGTCTCACGTCAGCTGTTTCAACGTTTATTTTTTAATATCTCGTACCAAAAGGTTACGATAGGTACACTGATCACGATAGACCTTATCAACACCCCAAAATCACACCCAGATACACGGGACTTGTTTTCACGTCTACCGTCGTAACTGCCGCCGCTCTTATTTGCACGTCTACGAGGTCACCGACGGCGGTGGAGACGACGATGGATGTCGAATCGTTCGGCTCCGTCAGCTGACGGCGATGTTGAAGCTCGCCACGGGCGCGCTCTTGGAAACCGTCGCAAACTCGTCGCATCGCGCAACTCCGCCAGCATCGAGTGCAGTGCTGCTGCGACCGCACAGTCGACAACTGGGCAGCGACTCCAGCAACATCGACCGGCCAACGACGGCGAACGACGAAGGAGCGACCTCCCGGAGCTCCGAATCGAGTAGAGAAGGCTGCAAGAGCGCCGATTCGGCGCCCAAGGAGCCCCCGGTACCGCCCGGAGAGGAAGAGTGCTGCGGCACCGGTTGTTCGAATTGTGTGTGGCTATTGTACGCCGAAGAGTTGGTCGACTACTACAGGGACAACGGCGCCCGGGCGGCCCAAGAGGTCGCCAAGATACCCGACCCCAACGTGCGCCAGTTCGTCAAAACCGAGCTAGACCACATGCTGAAATCCGAGAAGTGAAAATCATTATTGCCCTGGCTGTGACGTCGTAGCGGAAATGGGACGTCGATGTAAGAAAACGCGCTTGATTTAATATAATTAAATTGTGCTGGTCCGCCGCTCGATGGTTTCGCGCTCCATAAACCACGAGAGGGATACGACCGATTCGTTAGAGACACAGTTCTGTGCACAAATTATCGTAGCACATTGACAGATTCAATTTGATGGGTGGTGTAGTCAGCCCGTAAAGTTGTAAGAACTGCAAACACAACTTAAGCACATGCAAAATAATGGATGCATATATACCGTAGTGTTCTCTAATATCTTTAAAACATTGCGTCAGTGCCGCGTGACGACGATATTTTTCAAATTTCGAATCGCTTGTGTGACACCAACCGAATCAAAGCTATCCCTAAGTGCATAGTCAACCTTGGTAATGTACAAAAGGTGCAGTTGAGGTAACTGCAGAAATATATATAATATATAAACACACACGCAAGTGCACATACTTGAAAAAAATATGCTGGCTTGTGCATGATACGGTCCCGATGAGCGTAGTAGTGGGAGACGGGACTCCAATTTACGGAAGTGTCCCGAATTCGGTCACCACTGCTAGGAATTGAACTCTTGCAGACATGCTTTGCAGTGCAACACCACAGCCACAAAGCCACTGAGAAGATGGCTTCATTTCAGCAAAGCTGTGTACTGTGTGTTAGACAGCACGCAAGGTATGGAGTGCTTGATATCGGCATGGGAAAAGGGTGATTCCGAGAGACTTCCCATGCAGTTTGAGGTTGTTTCATAAGTCCTTTTATTGCAAAAGAAGTCGCGTATTTATAATGTGATGCAAGAATGAAGGCGGACAGTAGCGCATGTGAAATGATTCCTTCCATTGTAGGTCGTTGAGGAGCTACTACCACAAAAAGAACAAAAAAGAAAATGCCCGGTTTGCATCCAACAAATATGCACGTATTCACAAAATGGGCCTAAAGCGTTTCTTTCAGAGTTTGGCTACACACTGTGGAGAGTTGCAGCTTGATTTTTTTGGTCACATGTCCGATTTAGTTTTGTATATGCAGGATACCAAACAGTCCTTGGCACTTTGCTGTTCCAGAGCAGCTCACTTACAACAACAACGCTGTCGAGTATAACATTAATCATGACTGGTTTACCGAAGTGCTTAATTAGGTTGGCCTACATGTGACTATAACACTGTCTTATTACATAAAACCATTCATTGGGATATAAACTGTAGTTTTTAAGGCAGTTTACAAATCTGCATTCAAAAAATTCTACTCTGAAATTGAGGAAATAAATCTTCAAGATGAAAATTAAAACATTCTATCATATTAAACTACAATCAATTCGAACTGTACAGTAGAACACTGATCTGAAAAAAAAAATGTATGCATTACATCATGATGTATGATAAATCTTACTTGCATATTACAAACACTGGCTGTTTGCTTCAAATGCATCAGCCGTTAAAAATGATCTTTCTAAACTTACGACAGCCACGAACAATCTAAATCACAATAAAATTCGGTTTTCACCTTCGGCTCAGTCAAGTCAGGAAGGTCGAGAGCTCTGTAAAGAAATCACACACAGAAAAAAGGCTGTGCAACTTAGGACAAGACATGCAATGTGTGCAATGAGATGTTTTCAAAGATCCCCCTCAACTCCAAGCCAAGAACAAAGTGTTAGGTTCCCACACTTTAAAAAGTCTTGCTGCCTGTAGGAATCACATCACCCAAGTGTGATGCGCCATAGACAAGAATGTGATACACTCGAACCTCATTATAACAAAGTTGCAGTTTACACGAAAATAAGTTTGTCATATCTGACCCTTTCTTATGAAGGTTTATAATGACACTACATATTGCTTTCATTAAATCGAGGTTTGAGTGTACAAACACCACTGGAGCACATCTCGTGCATTTCATTGTGAATTGCTGCTTCAGCTGATTGCATTATTCTGAATTCTGCGAAACCGAGACTTTCACTATGCAAGGAAAGTGTACTGACCGCGCGTGAAAACGCAGTGGATTACACCAAGGCCCGATGTTATAACTCACTCAAACATCATTTGAAAGGGGTCGACGACTAGTAACATTTATGGTACGCACTTTCTTTAGAGCAACGGGCAGCTTAAAGGTTACAGTGTCTAATGAAATAGTAACATGTGAAAGATTTACAAAATCACAATTTTTCAATCTGTGGTGAATCTTAATATACACGTGCTGCAAACAACATGTGTTCTCACAGCGCATGCACGCACTTCGCATGCATGAGAGCATCAGACTATGCGACTACGCACAGCTAAGTGGTACACTCCATAATCCAGCTTCAAGGCTCTCTAGGCTGCTCCACACACCGGTTTTTGGTTACTTTTAGGCTTGTTTTAACTATATAAATCCTACTCACCAAGTATTCAAGATGTCACTATATTTCCTGTCACTATATTTCGCAGTCTTCCGATTTCTACCAGGATCTACTTGGTATGTGTTTTGACCAGCTGTCAGTCCCTTTAGGTTTGGCAAATACCTGCTTTACTCCAGCTCATTTGAAGATGTGGTACGTGCTATACAGAAGATGAAATGACTGCGCAGGATTTATTAGCGCTTTGCAGCCAATTTCTAGGCAAGTCATTGTTTCAAGCGAGTTTTGACATCTATAACCTGCAGACAGCCATGCATACCAGCAAGTGAAGCAAATATTTCCATCAGTTTTGTAATTATGGCTAATATAAGTTACGAAGGATCTTGTGCAAAAGCCACATGATCAGTTAAACTCTGCAATATTCCTAGTATCAACTTTCATGTACACTGTTGAACACAAATGCATGGCATCAAGGTGGCCTAGCAATGTAATCAAACGCAAAGAAAAAAACACCTACGAGACTTATTGTAATACAGACTTGGGAAGATAGAAAAAGGTCAACTTCCTTACTTTGCACTACATCCCTACATGCAACTGCTGCAGGAGAGTCAGGATGCTCCCGCAGGAACAACTTTCCTTCGTCGCACGCCTTAGCTGCAGAAAGGAAATAAAAAAAAATTTGAAAACCAGAGGACCCTAAAGTTTCGCTTTTCGGAGGTGGAACATGATAGCGACATCCTGTTCGTGGTGCGTACTTTAAACACTTAGTGCACGAAGCATTTTCGAACATGCTGTTCACCAACTACACGGCATCAAGGGGATAGGCGAAGTAATCATCATTGATGGCAATGCATGCTTGCATTATGCATTATTACTGCAATGGGTTCATTTTGTAGTGTGAGGCATGTATACGTGAGGCGTGCATTTGTGAAGTATGACAGTTACTTTCACTGCTATTTCAAGCAGAGGAAGTTATTTTCACTGGATATTCACAAGCAGGCACATGGGGTAAAGCATCTACTCTCCATGCTAACGACCCGGGTTCGATCCTTACTCGTCTCCACTCTGGCCCAGGATTTTTTTTTATAATTTACTTTATTTGCATTGTTTTCGATTTTTCGGTCGCGCACATGACGCTGATTTTTCGCTCACGACGAACGACGCCGGCACTGGAATTTCTGCGAAACGAGCTCTTTAACGCTATCGCGTTGAAAACACCATCACAGATTCCAGCACCAACATCGGGAGAGAATACTTGGCGCAGGCAACTGTAAAGCTGTATGCACGGACAAAAAACTACACAAAGTGGGGAAAACAAATAGCTTTTCCCTTATTAAAGGAACACTCAACCAAGCAGCAAAACAGGTTTAGACTGATAAATTATGTTCTGAAAGCTATGCTTGTGATTTCACCATCACAGGTCAATTAATAGAAGAGAAAAAACAACATATATTTCACTTTCAAATTATGCACCGAAATCTCCACACTTGATGTCACAAGCTAAAATACGTATTGTTTTTTTTTTAAGTGCAGAGCACTTTAGGGGCCCGAACTGTCGTCCATCCATGCATTTCGTTTGGCGTGATCGCAGTAAAGCACTCACTACACCAGGTGTTAATGCTCAAAACTGGGTTAAAACACATGAACAAGGTCTAATATAATTTAATTAACAGAAACAACCAATATAATAGCAGTAGTTGATCAAAGATCACTGAAAAACAATTTGGAAACCTGCACACGACTCCGAGTCCGCACAGGAGAGGATACCATCACCTCACCACGCAAGCGGATGGCCCTCCCTTAAGCTTCGCCGGCACTGCGTCGACACATTCAACGAGGAAAACAAACCTGACGAAGCTTGCTGCAGACGACGCGTTTCTCAGCAGCCATAACGAGGAAGAAGTCGATAAGGTGTGTGGAATTTGATGCTGGCTTTGCCGCGTATTGCTGCCATTCTCATGTCCTGGCATGACTCTCCCCTCCTCTGCGGTCTATCGCTCTGGGGGAGCGGGACCTGCGGGTCTGCAGCCGAGTACCTTAGCCACTAGACCATCGCGTCGGGGTCCAGGACAACCTAGGGTGAGCACGCATTTCTTTCCCGTCCGTCTGCTCCTATTGTTTGGGGCTCATCGGACTTCTCTAATGGCGCCTTGCGCTCACGGCGAACGTTCACCTTTGTTCCCCCTTTCGAACGCTAGGCCGAAGAGCGATGCAATGTCTTTGCGCGTGGTCGTACTATGCCGACCCGTTCCTCTCGCAGCCAACGCGACCAGAGTTTTGACCTCGCTCGAGCGACCGGGCCCTGTTGCCCGGTGTCACCGCGAATCACTCTTGCCTAAGGAGACGTGCTTGCGGCACCCTGAGTAGTACTTCTCGCCCATGGCGTGGATAAGCCTGTTTGCTTTCCCGGCACCCCTGGTGAAACGGGCTCTGTACTGCGTTTTTGGTTGCCGCAGGCAATAAACTGTTGCGACCTGTTGAAAGCAATACCGTGTTCTTGCCACAGCAATGCTTAACGCGTGCCCTGCGGCTAGCTAAGACAGGATCCACGCTACTCGCCGTACTCTTTCGGGATACGTGTACATTACAAGTGAAGCAAAAAGTAGAGCGCATGTCACAGATTGAGCTTGTGATTGCCTGTAACGAAATTCCACTCGTGCCGGGGGAAGCCCATGTGCTTACCTCAAACACTGGTGTCATTTATGATAAATAGAGCAGTGCAAACTCTACGAACAGGAATCGCTGACTGCCTGTTTCTGAGGTTTCATAATAGTGAAGCTTCTATAGGTTTCATTTTTCCTATTTTGACAAAATGGGCTTAACAAAGGTTTTTAAAAGTTGGAATCGAAAGTATTTGGCAACTAGGAGGGCAATGCACTTCATTTTTACTAATTCACAACAACAATCACTTTAGTTTACGCCATCAAAGTCTATGACGTCACGAGGATCGGTACGGAAATGTAGAGGTCGCGTCAACACCTGCGTTTTTTTTGGCGCATTTTCTCGCTTACCAAGAGTAAGTATGGCGACCTTGAAGTTATGAAAGAATAATTTGCCAATATGAGTCAACCCACTTTTCTCTGTAATGCCTTTTTAAACCATAGACGACAATGCTGTTTTCAGCACAGCCACAGTATGAAATTATCCTTGTTTCAGTAAACTGTCATGACTTGCTACACCATATGGCTGACACCACAAAGGTCATCGCCCCTTACCAAGTTGTGGGTCGAGGGGCAGCGATCCAAGGAACGGCAAGTCCAGTTCTTCGCACAGAGCAGCTGCACCTCCGGTGGTCGGAGGAAAGATTTCGCTGCGTACCTACAAAAGTTATAGAAAAATCTAGTTCAACTCTTTTAACACTAGTAGCCACAGCAGACAGGCGACGATTTTCGTGTCCGTTCCAACAGCACCATCTCATCGCAGTCGCATCAACACTAACTTGTGTAATCAACATTGTGAGCGTCGCTGGGGTGTTCCTTTTTTTCAGCTGTTAAAGTAGTTGACATTTAATCAAAAACTGCAAGTACTTCTTCGTTTGAACACACATGGTGGTGAGGGGCAACCATGTGAGCCCCAAACAACCGCTCAGCAGTAATAATCGCCAGAAATTTATGCCAGCTATTCAATAGAGAGGTATTGCTAGGAGGCAGGGAAAAGTGCCTTAGCACAGGTGCCTATAAAGAGCGTCGACTAATCTGCAAGCAGCTCCCCATCGTCCGCTAGGTTTCCCCTTCCTCGTAAGTAACATCTGCTGGGGGAGCACTTCAGTAATTGTTTGAAAAGCTTACCTGACATTTTGGGCAGACGAAGCCACGCATGTTTTCGAGAACACCCAATATTCTCAGACCCATCTTGCGACAGAAGCCCACCTGCTTGCGGACGTCTTGCAGAGACACCTCCTAAAGGACCACGGAGCCACTCATCATTTCGCTGAGACACTACTGACATCATGAACGTAACTACTTGATAAATTGCAACAAGTTTTTAAAGGGCTCCTCACCAGGTTTGACAGTTTTGAACTGACAAGCGGAATGTCCCCCATGTATGGAGCGTTCACAATCATGGCAGCCCAAATTTGCAAGCTACGTGCCGGGGATTGAGTGAAATTTTAAGAGGAACAATGCTTGCCCTTCCTTTCCCCGGTGAGTGCCGAGAGTAATGAGGGCATGATGTGCACGTAGAAATTGCCCCATGTAGACAGCAGTGCTGTTACCTCGGTCCTCTATGTAGACGACTGTGCTCGACGTGGCCAACAGTAGCACGTGATACCGCAAAAATAATTTCCCATGAGGTACGTAGTTTGTTTAATTTGTTCCTTGAATAGATGAATAAAACTTGAGATAAATAATCAGACACAAAAAAGGAATGCGCACGTCTTTTTCATTTTTTTCCATAAATTGCAACGAGATACAAGACTAATGTGCCTGCATTTCGCATGCGTTCCGTGTCCCCACGATTAGCACATCGAGGAAACGCCAGCCGTGGAAACAATATTAATGGTCTTGCGTGCTTGAGAACTCAATAAGCTCATCTATTGCACCGGATCTAATTTCAAACAAGCACGCACCACGGCGCCCATCCCGCAGAAACAGGCAGTAGACCACAAAATAACGCCGGTCAACAATACAATACCGCTCGCATGCTGGGCGTTGGGCTTGCTCGAAAATGTCATGCTGTCACGGACGGCCATTTTTGGCGACACCGCGTCACGGCAATTAACAGGCGCCGTACTCCCCCACTGACCGTGAGAACGGCGACCGCATGAAAGGGAGCCGAGAAGTGCAGAATGGGGTGCTCTTCTTAGAACATCGCCGCCGACGTTTGATCCTTTTGTAACTGCGGCGGCGTCTGCAAGGTCGTAGAAGGCCGCAGTATACCCCGAACAAAGATTAGACTACGAGACGCACCGGCTGAGAGCCAAACGGTTGACCGTTCCCACGGGGAAAAGCGTGGGAAACGCTCTGGTGGCCAAGCCGTATGACAACAACCTGACAGGTTGTCACTCTCGCTAGTTGAGGGCCCTCTCCCAATTAAAAAGGGGTGGGGTCAAAATATTTTTGGGGCGGAGTTTCCATCAATTAAACGCACATGATTGGACCCAGGTAGAAGTCTCTTGTCCCCAAGGAAGAGAGCGAGGAGACACGAGGGGGATTTAAGCGCAGGATTTTGCCCTGCTAGGCAGACTAGTCGCTGACCAACATGGTGTAGAAACAGATCAACAAGCATCTCTTCTAGAAGTTTTTAGTGTGGCTCTGTATCGGCTGGCCACCTAAACTTAGCCGTTCGTCTAGTTGTGACGCGATACTAACGTCTGCAACGTAGACATCGGGACTTCGCCTCGAGTTAGCTCAACCTGCTCGAAGTCACCTGCAAGCACTAGCCTCCCGGAGCCACCAGCGTTGCAACACCGCCGACATCGCAGTCGTGCCAGAACTCTCTTCGACTTCTCGCATCCGATCGTCGGGGACGCAACGCTGCCGGTCATCACACGTATGCCTTCACCTGTTTATATCTTCGAACTTTCTCCTTTGTAGTTCTGTTGTGTTAGTTTGTGTAGTTTGTAATAGTTCTCTCGCGAAAGCTGATTTATTGTTTTTATATGTATTTGTATCAAGTGTTGATGTAATTTGTTAGCTGTATTGAAGTGTTGTATTAGATCCCGTGTGCTGCAATATCACTAGAGTAAAGTTTGTTTTGTTTTCTCACGTCTCTGATCTCTTCACTGTCTCTGCTTGCGTACGGAACGAACCAACCTGCTGTCATTCCCGTCGCCGACTTCGCGCTGGCGACGCTAGAGTGGCAGCTTGTAACACATGCGCACGTGACCATTTGCTCGGATGCCGGAGAACATAGAGAAGAGATTTGGCTGGCGAAGGGCTACGCGAGGCGAGCGGCAAGGGCTTCGAGCTCGCCTCCTCTCATCATGGTTTTGCGTCGCTTCATACTGGTTTTCTCATCTCGTCATGAATTGACTGAAAAAATTCCGGTGGCATAATGTTCTTTTTCGAACACACAACAAATGCCAGCGTCTAAATAGAATTGGTTATGGGGCCCAGTGGAGAGGACCTTTAATGGGGTACTGACATCAATTTTCGAAGCTGAGCTTACTCTGCTATGCAAATATCCTGTAGAGTTGAACCCCTTTAGAAGAGACATGCACCAGAGAGAAATTCTTGTCTTTTACATGACATGTCTCTTATAGGCACAGTAGTACCACATATGCATCTTATCAAACCATATTTTACTGTAGGCACGTCGGTGCCTCTTATACCCATTCATCTCTTGCATCAGTGTCTCTTATAAAGCTGTTTCGGCTGCATATGGAGACGGCTTTGAGCAAGCGTGGAGCCCAGTAAGGCAGTGCATTTTGGCATTTAAAACCGTATATTCACATTGTGCACCTTTTGACATCCAGACTATCGTGACCTCAGGCTACACGTGTTGATTCTGGGGATTTCGCGAGCTGGTTTGGTGGCTACCTACAACGACGTCGGGTACCACAACATTCGAAACGACCGCTTGATTGTCATCAACGGAGCCACTGAGCGCAGTGGTGATAGAAGCGTCACGACATCATGCGAGGGCTAATGACAAGACGCCCGTACGGTGTTTTGACATCAGCGTACAGTAGTAGATGCAGAAACTAGCCCATAAAACGTTCTGTAATTACTTTATCAAGGTGTGCTTACGCATACCAGTCCATTTTCTGGGTTCTCGAGGGCTCCGTCTTCATTTCACGAAATAAAAAGCTACAACTAAGAGCTCTCATGTCAGTATCCCTTAAAATCTGTTCTATTCAACAACCTTGTTGCCAGAGCATCAGTGCCCATCAGTCATAAAGCTGCACACACAAGACTATGTCCACTGGCCTACTTTCTTTTAAAGGCCTACTCCACCGATCTTTGTTACCATGGGAGGGCATTGGTGCTTTTATGTTCCCGAGACACTCTTGTCGCGCGCCTGATAGCTGAAATGCTAAAAAAAAAAAAAAATCGAAAATAATTTTTAATTATCTAAAAACAGCAATACCTAATGCTTCTACGTATGACGTAATACTTTGCCAGAACGTGCCTGGTAGCACACAATGCCACCAGATGGCACTACTTGTCCTGGCCGTTCAAGTTCGCGCCAGCGGCAATCGGCTAATATGCTTACGCTGTTATAGTGAATATATGGCGAATCGTCTGCGGCCCACAAGGCAACACCACTTGCACACCCATCGCGCGCCCAACAACACGACAAAGGAAATCGAATGTTCAGCTAAGGAAGTGTCGGCCAAACCCACACAATCCGTAGCAGGCAAGCAGACGCTGGCTGCAGTGACAAATCAGTTACGTCACTTCCGCTTCAGACAAAATCAACATCAGGCACACAATGTTGCCATTAATTCTGGCACGTGAGGTGTGTGTTTTGAAGCAAGCTATAAAATGCATATGAAAAATAATCTGCAAAACTCTAAAGCCGGCAATTTGGCGTGACAATGCAAATGTGCAGATGACCGTACCCAGTGTATTTCATTGAGATCCATTGACATCAAAAAATCACCAGAGTTGGCTTTTAAAGACACTGGTCTCGGAGATGGAAATTCATGAAAAAAAATAAGTTTTTTGAATATATCTATGTAACAAACAGCCATTGCCACAGTTGTCGACCAAGTTTCTTACATCTTGGATTGATATTTCAGCCCCAACAGCAACCTAAACACCACCAAGACAAGCTATGTTCCCAAGTAACCACGATATTTGCTGGCTGTCCGTTCTGAATACAAATGTCCAGCCGTATGGATATCCAACACGGATAGCCAATGGACGTACTGTGTTAATCCACATCTCGTGTGGCTGTTTTCTGGACTTCCGAACTGAATGTCCGACCGTACATGTAGTAAATATATATATAGATCTGCAAAATCTCTGGTGACAATCTTGTAAAATTCATTAAAAAGGCTACTATAATATTAAATCAAATTTCTGCACGCACATTTCATACCAGGATGCCAAATAATTTTGCTTCCCGAAGCAACACAATCTGGTTGATTCAATATGTTTACTGTACGTGATAAGGAAAAATGTATTTAGTGTTATTATTACCGCATGTGAACTGACAAAAATGCAGATCGAGCGCGTCATGGCAGTCGTCATGTAGGCAAACTTTCACGCGCCAGCCTCGATGCTTCTCAACAAGCGGTGCACCACAGTTGCTCAGATTCCTTGAACGTACACGTCATGCTAGCTGCGCCTCTCTGGATGTGTTGGGAGAAAACGCACGCCATTGTGCCTATTGTCCTAAAACCTGCTTGGCCAGTGGGGCGCACGAAAAAGAAGGGAGTTCATGTCACGTCGCAGGTATGTACGCTGAGCCGGTCGGTCCCCGAGTGGCAGAAGGCAGATATTTATTTTTCAAGTGCACCCGTGTGGACATTCGCAGCAATATGTTAGGTTGCAAAGAATGACTTTTCTACAAAAAACACCAAAACGCAGCACAAACCCACAACTGTTTTCGGCAGAGATTACCGCGGCAAGCAGCAGCAACCCCGCTCACTAGCACGGCCAGGATAAGGCTTCGTGTTACCTATCTGTTCTTTATGTCTCATGTTGGACATTTATCTGTTCTTATCACACGTTAACTTTTGTCCATTATTTGTATAAGCCCTGTTAATACGTGGCATGTTTCCAGCTCTTCATTTGCTGGCATATTCCTTGCTATTAACCGATTTTAAGACGAGCACGTGGTCAGTGCCTGTACACCTTCTTTAGAAGCGTACGCTACACCCATTAGTTTTTCTCCTGTGCTTGTCTGTATCTACGTATTACGGTTACTGGAATATCATTGCCATAAACACGCGCAAGTTCGGTTTGTTGCTAATAATTTAGTTTAATAAACCCATAAAGAAGCAACTGCTGCTGCCTAAGAAGTCATCGCACTTGAAGGCGGAAGGGCACTGAACACTGAAATCTTGTAAGACTACGTACACACTTTTACCATCACTGCTGCGGACTGCGAGTTATGTGCTTCTTAGCCTTGATATATCTTGATAATAAAAGTTCAACTGTTCTTGAAAGCTCACTTGAGCCCAATTTTTTTTTATATTATTTGTAGCAGAAAAGCTCCCGCAGAAAAAAAGACAGGCTCCGAGTAGGCTGCATGGGTACGTTGTTCACATGAAAAGTTTTCTTGAATATGCACAAGCCATATACACACAAACTTTTTGTATATATATATACATCCTTTGAAGGGACTGTCAATATCCATGTTGGCTATCCTAAACTGATGTCGAGCGAACATACAAATTGGTTACCTTTGTACATATGATGTACGTCCATCGGACGTACATCATATGTACTGTACACTGTACATCTATCGGACGTACAGTGTATATTCGTGGACATTTTATGGATGTCTGCAATATCCGAAATGTACATCTCTTTGTATGCCTACCGGATATCCGTGGTTACTTGGGTACAAAAACTGCGGTCTTTTAACGACACGCTGCTTCTGTATGACGCATGCTGTAACAGGAAGCATACATGTTGAGTCCTTGGTGGCTACCAATCATCTAAGAAAATATTTCAGTATCTTCTGTTACATGTGGCTCAAAATGAGCTTTATCTACTATTTTGCACTTTCACAAACAGGCTTCTACTCGCCCTGCTCGTTTAGTGGAGTAATTCGTACATGTCTAAAACAGTTACAGCTGTAACGTTTCTCGGCTTTATAAAGCTAAATACGTAAAGCCTGGACGGCTGCCCTTCTTCTTGATTATTAGTCAAAGTACTATAAATGCCAAATTTCAGTGGGCTAATTGATGTTACATTCAAACACTGCTTACAGCATTTCAATCCTAATTCATTTTTCTTTTCGCCGATGCATTTAGAATAACCTTCTGCACAGTTTGTTGTTCCCTATAGTCCCACCAAACATTAGTACAAAACGTTTAATTATCTCAACCACTATTTTATTCTAAGAAAAAATTGCTGCACTTCTGAAATCAGCACAAAAAGTACATATATAGCTATGCATTTAAATTGAATCTCCTCAGAGAATGGACAAGATAGCCCCAGGATCCATCGATAATCTACTTATGTAAGATAGTGTAAGATAAGTGGAAATAATATGTAGAGAAGATGCTCCAACTTAGTTAATAATGCATGTGTATGAAAAGCTCGCAACTAGATGTTGGCACCGCACCATGAATGTGGTCAATGAATCAGCTGTCATGGCAGAAGATGGTTGACCCAGATGACATTGTGGATACAGTTGACCACGCGCACATCGCTCTGTGCTGAATGTATGGCTGCAGTGCCTGACATGAGTTGGCGCTCAAGAGCAATATAACCATCTATGCACACTCGTCCCTCAATATAGCGAACCTGGATATAAAGAAATGTTGGATGAAGAAGAGTGTTGCAGTAGATGTAGTGTTAGGAATATGCCTTTATAATGATTCGGGTATAACAGTCTTACTTTCGTGTAAGATGCAGCTTTCTCAAAATGAGGTTTTAGTGCATGTACCAGTGCATGTACCAGTGCATGTAACAGTCCGCACTTCACCGCTGTGCAGAAGTAGAAATGGAGCGGGAACTATTAGATAAGCATTGACGTCAGACGGGTGAGTGTTCTTGTGAACTACAGGTTCACTTCGATTGATTGATTTGTGGGGTTTAACGTCCCAAAACCACCATATGATTATGAGAGACGCCGTAGTGGAGGGCTTCGGAAATTTCGACCATCTGGGGTTCTTTAACGTGCACCCAAATCTGAGCACACGGGCCTACAACATTTCCGCCTCCATCAGAAATGTAGCCGCCGCAGCCGGGATTTGAACCCACGACCTGCGGGTCAGCAGCCGAGTACCTTAGCCACTAGACCACCGCGGCGGGGTCAGGTTCACTTCCTCAAATAAAGATCGACCTTTTGTGACAATGTTTTATGAAACGTGCATTTACAGGAGCACCAGTGGATAGCGTCCAAATCTTTGTTGTCAGAGTGAGACGTTGCGAAATCTCCCAAGTCAGAGTTCCCACAAAACGTATGATCCAGTGCCTTCTCTGTCAGACCGAATGTCTTTCTATGGCGAGAGTGGCATTTCTAATATTGCACAGGGATAATTACCTAATACAGGTGAAATAATTTTTTTTTTACTTTAAAGCCTTTAAAATACTATGGAGCGACTACTGTACACCCACAGCGGTGGCAGAAATGAACGAAATTTTCTTAAAAACGTTCTTGAAGCGCTTGCCTGAGGTGTTGTGACCAGTACGACACCATCGAGGTTGCAGTCCTTGAGGTATTGTGCCAGGCTGAGGTGCTCGTCGGACGTTCCCGGTGGCGTGTCTACCAGCAAGTAGTCCACGTCGCCCCAGTCTACGTCTCGAAGGAACTGTTTTATCATTCCTGAAATGGCGCAGAGTCAGATGAATCTAGCTTAATGCAAAACATAAATGTGACACGTAACAACAACGCAGCGTAGGCATTAGGAGAATTGCGGAGATCTGTACTTTTATGTAAAAGTCTCACTAGAAAGGCCTCCAAGGCACTGCAAACACCAGCAAGAGAACCAACACCATATCTACTACACTTATACTTTTTTTAAGTAGAGATTGTATGATATCGTGCACTGTATAACCGAATCAGCTTCCGATTAGCAAAGCTACGACATAAGCATAAACGTTGTCTTGACCAATAGATAAGTTGAAATCACGTGCACCAAATGACATGACAGTCACAAAGTTTTGCATTCCCAAGTTCGAGGTTGGTTTTTACATTTCAGAGACTCTCCCACCGAGCAAACTGCCAAATCAGAAAAACTGCATTATCTGTGTTGCCGGGGAAAGTGCGAACTTAAGACCGCAATCCTGAATTGATTTATATAAAGGGTTTAACGACCCAAAACCACCACTACACTGTTAAGAGAGACGCCGTAGGGGAGGGCTCCAGAAATTTCGACCACCTAGGGTTCTTTAAAGTGCACCCAAACTAACAGCACATGGTCCCACAGCTTTCTTGCCTTCGTCACGAAGGCAGCCGCCGCAGATGGAATTCCATCCCGCGACTTGCGAGTCAGCAGCCGAGTACCTTAGCCACTAGACCACCACAGCGGGGCCACAATCTTGAATTGTTAGCGTTCACTACGCAAGGCTGTAGTCCTGAAATCACCAGAACTCCTACTCACTATCAAAACTATGGCACGAGAAATTAATGTTTTACTCAAGGATCATACACACACTCTTTTGGAAACAGTGTGGGGGGTGCTAACACCCCCTGTAAAGTTGTTTGTGCCTCATGGCACACAAATCTCGCGCATAGGCCGCATTTGGGGTTCACAACTATCGTGCGGTAGGGGGCATTGCGCTTGTGAGAGTTTATTGCCGGCATCATGATCATGGTTACAAAACGTTAGCGCCAGCGGCGACCCTGGCGGCAAGCCTTGGTGGTGGCACGAGAGTTTGAGCGAGTCTCTTAGGCGCTTGGCACGAACGGTTGTCTCGCACAGTGGGACCTTAGTGCATGGCACTGCGAGCCATCTGCCGAGGGCCCTTGCTGTGAGTCGAGCATTAGCGACACCGCCTTGTTGTCATGTTGTTAAGCGTTGTTTAATATTATGCAAGGATGTCTTGGCGTGTTGATAACGATTGATGTTACAGTAATATGGCTGACGATATCATCGTTTCTAAATGTAATTAAATAAATGTGAGTTGGCTTGGTTTGGTCCGACCGCATCTGCTGTGTCCGTTCACTTCAAGAGCGTGTTGGCGCTCCCCACATCAAGACCCCACAACAGTCATGCACACAGCCAGGTGGGCTGATGCTTTAAAAGTGATCTTCAAAATTTGGTTGTGGAGCAGTAGCAATGAAACCTTTGGCTATAATATTTGCAAGATATTTTAAAGTACACACTGGTTGCACAGGAGCTCAACAATAGTTTCAAATTGTGTTGAGTGTTTTTTTTTTTTCTTTCTTGTCCTTTAAAATTTTTTCTACATATGTACTTTTTTTGTAAAGAGCTGCTATCTGCTGTGCATCGCTATGTGCAAAGGTAGCTACTAATGCTTTAGAGAAGTGGAACTACAGTAAACTCTCAGTAAACGAAAATCTCTTGAAAAGAACTACTGCTCAAACGGAACTATTGCCTCTGCAATATTTGGTTACGAGCTTGTATTCTGCCCCCATGTTCACCTCTCAGTAAACGGAACTCCTGTTAAATGGAACATATTTTCCCGGTCCCTTCAGGTTCCGTTTACTGAGTCTACTGTATAACAGTGAATTTACCATTAAAACTTTATTTGTTATGCTTCCTCTTTTTTATGTTTGTGAATATGTGAAAATTCCCACTCGTGAACTAATGCTTTTTTTTACTAGAAATACAAATGTATCTAAGCTACTGATTGTAGTCCCAGTTAAGTGAATCCCAGTAATTCACACATGTGTGAATTTTATTCGCTCATGCCTGATATTTCCCGAAAAAAAAAAGTAGACAAACTCCAAGATTGACATTTTGAGAAAAAAGCAGAGGTCGGGGTGTGCATGCACATTTTCTGTCAATGCTTCAAGCAAAAAGGCCCAAAAATTATTTTTGAAACTGCAAGTGCTCAAATCTTATACGTTTTCTGAAAGATAAAGGAATTCTCTACCAGGCGATTAAAAATCCCCAAATTGAACCTTTTAAACAAGGGAAGTCTCAATCCACCTTAAGCCAGAGGTGGACAATTCTCAGCCCACTACTGTGAAATTAAGAGCCTACCACCACAGCTGTAGGTTAGGTTCTTTTGCATTCTGTCGCTGTCACAGTGTGGTTGTTCAGGATAATAAAAAATGCAATCTTGCCACACTAGCACAGTTTGTGTTGAGGTCTCCTCAAACAGCAGAAATTTGGTGGCTATGAAACGTCCATCGGCATCTGCATTTTCGGCATCGGCAGCCATTTCCCAAACGATGGCAGTTGTTCGACATCCGCACCCGCACCCCTTCAAGTCCTCGCACTTTTCCGAAACAACGGTCCTGCTTGATTATATGCTAGGCGGTAAGATGCGTTTTGCAAGAAATCCCGTGAATACAAAGACATTCTGTGCAGATCGCACTCTCTCTGCAGCTCTTTTGAAAGAAAGTCCAAATGTTGCCCCCTCCCCCTTTTCTGCCGCATGATTGTAGTTCTGATGATTCTTCGAAGCGATGTGCCCCTTTATCTCAGCCTTGCCTATGTTCGAAACGCCTACATTACAGGCACACATGGTACAAAATTCGTACGTGCCACCTTTCTGCGAAGTCACAAAGCTCGGAAATTCGGCAGTGTATGAATCCAAAAACAATTGCAAGTATTAGTTCTTTGCTTTTGACACCACCATCATCGAGCTGCCAAATGAACTCCGGAAAACATGCAACCCTCACAATCACGTAACAAACACAACTGATGCTTAGGCAAGTGGCGTACAAAATGGGAGAGGGGGGCAAGACAAACAGACGTACAAGTTAAGGTACCTTTTCCCTCGCCTTTCTTTGGTACGGTGGCAAGCAGGTCATGCAGCCGCCGGCCTTCACCCAGATGCGCAGTATATACTTAGCGGTACTCTACAGTATGGCTACTATGAACTTGAAGTGTAGTGGCGAATGCTCTTCCGCAGCGCTGCGAATGTCGTAGCAGAAAAGGCTGATGTACACACGAGAATAAAAAAAAAGCCTGCGAAGAAAAAAAAAAGCCCTTTTGTGGGAGATTCCAGATACTATTCGCACATTTGGGAGATTAGGTCAAAGTTTCGGAGTCTCCCGGACAATTAGGGACAGTTGACAGGTATGATTATGCACGTGCAATGCTGCAAGTAGTGATATGGTTGATACCAGCCCCGTTTCGGACCGGTCCAGCTGGTTTTTTAGGCAGTGAGTCATTCACTGGTTTGCACCTAAGACCGGCTGCCACGAGAATTTTTTTTGCTTTGTCATAATATAGCAGCTCTTTATTTTTGGTGGCATTTTTAAGTGTTGGTTGAACAATTACGATGGTAAATATTTGATGTAAATCACCAAGACTCTTACGCTATCAGCTGTGGGGGTGCTGACACCCCCTGTAAGGTTGTTTGCGTCGCGTGGCGCGTGTGTCTTGCCGTCGGGCCGCATTTCGGGGTGACAACCACCGGGTGATAGATGGCGTTGTATTCGCATTGAGCACCACTGTCGTCATGGTTGCTGCAGCGGTAGCGCCGGCGGTGACCCCTGGCGGAGGCAGGCCTTGGTGGCGGGCGAGAGTTGAGCGAGTCTCTTTGGCGCGTGGCGGTTGCCGCGAACGGTTGTCTCTAGCATAGGTCCATGGCGCGTGGTACAGCGGCCCGCGCGTCGGGGGCCCTGGTGGTAAGTCAATCGTTGGCGACGTCGCCTTGGGTGTGTTATTGTGTTTGTCGTGTTATTGTGTTTGTCATGTTATTGTGCATTTGTCGTGTTATTGCATTTGTTGTATTATTGTGTTTGTCATGGAGTGTATGGTAATGTTGTGTACAGATGTCCTAGCGTTTGATAACGAGTGATGTATTGATATTATCGTTCTGAAATTAGGTAAATAAATGTGTGTATGTTATTGTTTGGTTTGTCTGCTGTGTGCGTTCATTTCAAGAGCATGGCGTGGTTCTTGCTCGCCATTTCGAGATCCCACACAGTCTAGTCAACCACTTTTTATCAGCCCTTCAAGTGTAGCAATCGTTGGAAGAGGGCAAATTATTGAGGGTGAACATACAGTGTAACTTCAGTTATACGTCCCTAGGTTTCGCGACGACCTCCACTTTATGACGAATTGGTTTGGTACCGGCAAAATAAATCTCCATACAAATAATGTATTACAAACCTTGGTTATACGATGCAGCTTTATGCAGACTCCGCATCTTACAGGGACTTTCAGATTTCGTCCGAAAGAAAAAAAAAACACATTTATTCAAATCAAATGTTGACCAAATATTCACGAGTGCAAAATATGAACTTGCATTCCCCTAGGTTGACGATCAGAGAAGTAGAGTGAAACAGGATGTCTTCTTAGAACGAAAAATTTATTCTTTTGGAAGGTCCTGCACTTCTATAATGGCCTCAATCGTGCGTGTGCGTATCTGGGGTCGTTACCTAGTCAAGCTCTACCCACACAGAGTAGCTTCAGCAGGCCGAAAAGCTGATATTGCACGTTTTCTGCCCGTGGAGATTTTCCCTGGTCGACATACAGCCGATCTCTGACCTTTGTCGCACTCACAGTCATAGGCTTGTGCGTATACAAGGGCGCGATGCAGTTGTTTTCACCATGCTAGATTACTTTGTGGGAATTGAGGCTGCGTCACTACCACTTTAACTTGACGTTAACGTTCACAACAACAGCAGGACATCACTAGTTGCACTTCAAGAGTCAACAAATCATAAGGCACACAGCATAGTTGCAAACAAAGGCGTTCTACGAAGCTTGCAGTCCATCGCCATTATGTGATGGTGATGAAACTGTGTCGAACTCTTCTGACAGGAGGCTGTTGCCAACGCTGTTTCAGTTTCCTTTTCTCGCACAAGCAATTTTCAGACTGTTTATCAGCAGAAAGATGTTCGTTGAATTTGATCTTTTGTCAAGAATCAAGATTCACTCGCACCTCCTCCAACTAAGTAATGCTGGAAGAATAATTGAATATACCTTCGTGCAGAGGCACAAGGTCGTGCCGTGGGCTTATTCGGGCGGTCTGTACCCGCTTTTGGGCGAGGCTTATAAGTGTCACTGCCTATAACCTTGATTTTTCGATTATATGACCCCCAGGATTATAGGACGGTTTTGTGTGGTCCCCTGAAAGTCGTATAATCGGAATTCCACTGTATATACGAATCCCCTACAGTCTCGTGGCATATTCACTGCACACATTTCAACATTCGTTTGTGTCTACAATATTACTGGCCTGGTGTATTCATCCATAAAGAAGACACCTTTGGCCATGAAGTATGCGTGGTTCCTTTTTCAGTGCAGCATATTCAGAGCATTAACCAAAAAGACTTAATTTTTGTACAAGCGTCATTATAATCACTGGTGTATTTTTATACCAGCCATTAAACTAGTTGGCTAGCTAACTGTTGTGCTTTTGTACCCATGTATATCAAGGGTGCGTAGCTACTAGAAGTTTGGTGTTCGGAGAGCATATATATATATATATATATATATATATATATATATATATATATATATATATATATATATAAGGGAAACAAGTGTATACTTAAGGGCTCGTTTTTCCTGTTTTACACAATTTTACACAATGTGGTGCGTGCGTGTGTGTGTGTACACACACACACACACACACACACACACACACACACACAAGTACACAACTGCAATCACAAACATACAGAAAGTATGATTGTAAATAAAAACATAAAAAAGAAATTCTGGCTATACCCCTGATGTACATTAAGTTCTGCTCAAGGAAAGCAATGTTATATTAAATTACACTGTTTGCCAAAGATTTATTAATATTATGAACTTGAGGGAATGCCTTAGTAGAGGGCTACGGTAATTTTGGCCGCCTGGTCCGAGATTTCCGTGTACTGAAATCGGAGTACCCAGGCGTGAAGCATTTTCACCTCAATTCAAGATGCGGCTGCCTCGGCCGGGATTCGACCCCGCCACCTTCAGGTCAGCTGTCGAGCACCATGACCACTAGACTACTGGTGGGTATGGTGACATCAAAGACTTAACATGGCCTCTGTTCAGCACTTACTTCATCTCTTGTTATATCCTCACCCCCTCCCCTTTATCTGAAGGGCTATTTTTATTTATCTTTTTTTGGGGGGGGAGTTTGCCTCTTTAGAGTGCTCACGTGGCCAGCTGTGCTTACAGAAAAGCTCCACAGTGTCCTGCCTCAATTAGCCCTCTCTTAAACCGAAATTGCTACTGAGAGCGGTAAAATTGTATACGAATATATAGCCATCTACGCACACACAAGCAAATGAGTGTTCCAGCACTTAATGCAACAGAAAAGAAAAAAATGCGAAATTGTCGGTACTCCGTTAATGGCCAACTCCGGCAATTTTACGATGTCAATGGATCCCAATGAAATTCGCTGGCTACATTTCCTGTGCACATATCGGTCATTTATGCTGAAATACAGGTTTGAGAGATACGCTGATTGTTTGCAATTGAATTTTAAAGATTGCCTTGAAAAGCTCACCTTGCTCGCTAGAATTATTGGCAACACTGTCTGTGTGACGTCATGTTTGGCATGTCAACGAAAGTGACGGAGCCGATGGCATCGCTACTTTGGCAGCTACAGCGTTTACTGTGCTTTCCACAAAGCGACGGTGGCGGTGTTTGGCACGGTTATAGCACGGGAAGGCTTTCTTCCTTCCTCTGTGGTGTTTGGCCGGCGCTTCGCTGGTCTGGCTTTAACAGTTTTCATACTCTGTGCCGGAGGGGACCAGTATACAGCCTCCAGTTCTTACCAAATAGTACGCCATACGCAGACAGGGCGCCTGGTTGGGTTTCGATATTGTGCCGTTTTGCTTATTAAAAATTGTTTTCGAATTTCCTGAGCATTTCAGCTATTGGGCTCGTGACAAAGGTATCTCAGGAACATACAAACACCATTACTTTGACATGGCCAGAACATCGCCGGAGTTGGCTGCTGACATGCACCACCTGCTCAGTTACAAGAACACAAGCGTGAAGCATTGCCATGAAATAGCACTAGTGGTGTACCATTTTTGCGGGGTCCTCTCCAGATGACAGCATCTTCAGGAGCGGTGAGGAAGCCAACGGATACGAGCGACAGGTTATCCTCAGTGTACTAGAAGTTAAAAATCAATAAAGAACCCCTGTAAGCATACAAACTTTCTGGGAAGCGTCACTGGAAGAGGATGGTGCAAAAGCAGAACACTACACGTCAAGCACTGCTGTAAAACGTAAAACAAAATACATCACTTCCAGTACTGTGCCCTTCGACATCTCTCATAATTTCCCTACTTTTATGCCTCTAGTGATAGATGACACCGTGTGGCTCAAACAGGGCGTCATCACCAGTGCATTCTGGATCGGCCACTTCTCCAAGAAGGTGCAGAGAAATACACAAAATCCAAGAAGAACTATTCACCACACTGTCACACTGTCACACTGTCAAGTCACACTGTCAGGGCTAAGGGAAATCACTTTATACAACATATCAAGAGAAAAAAAAAAACACGAGCACCGCTTCACTTGCATTTTCACGCCCCGCCACTACTGTTTTCTCAAACTGGCCCAAACTGGTACTTCGTTAACCCTTCGAGTGCTTTTGCCATAAATGTAAGACGATAGTTTTCTGTACCGCAGTGTCTTTACCATACGGATACGTCGACTTACAATTTCCTGTCGTATTGATGATGAATGCCCACTGGCAGGTGCTGCCACCCTCTAGGGCTTACAAAAAGCCCTAAAAATGACTGGGCTACCTTCTTGCGGAGACAAACACGACTGGCTTCAAGTGCCAGCACATTGCACAGTTGGTGGCAACACCAATGGTCAACACCCTCTCGTGGTTTCAGTTTCAGCATGCGGTCGCAGCGGAGGCGCGTGGAACTTGACTTTTAACTTCATTTGCACTTCTTTGCAGGGATGGTGGAAGTTGACTTCCATTTTCACTTTCACTGATCTTAGCTTGTTCATCACCGACACTCGCAAAGTATTCTCATTCTTCTTAATTACAGACGCTCAAGGCAGCCGGCTGCAGAGAAGATGCCTTGAGTGTGTGCCAATGCATGAGAACAACAGGCACGCATTTTATGTGTGCAGGCTGCGATAAAACGCTGCACACAAACAGGTGTTCCAAGGAATGCCACGCTGTGAAATACAATTAAACATTATGCAGTTCTGATTAGTACAGACACCGAAATATTACTCTTAAACTTTTTTAAAAATAAATTCCTGACATTAGACATTTCCTACATTCAAAGACTGCAATAAAATAGGTTGACCATCTGCAAAATTTTTTTCTTCAGAAATATTTTAAGCTCAAGGAGTTAATGTGCAATACCAAGCTTGCATGTCATGTCACTTCATACAGTGTAAAATTTGGTCAGCCTTTTTCTTGAGCAAAGTGAGAAGCTCTACGGAAAATTTTTCTTTCATCCTTCAAAGCTTTATGCAGTCTGAAGGAATTTAAGGAGACCGAAGAGGCCCCACCCAGATGACTGAAACGTGGAGGCCAATCGCCTCCGCACGTGAAGAAATAGTCCCACCCATGCACACTGCTATGTTATCCGAAGACGGGATGACCAGCTTCTCGGCTCGAGCTGTAAATTTGGCGTGCACGCCTATTGGTGCAAACTTGTGCCTCTGAAGAGAAAATTCCACAGACTTCTAAAGTTGCACTTGACTACAGACACGAGAACTCTGGGCAACATTATGCCCACAGACAAAAAAAAAAGACCATGCGCACCAGTAACGTGATGATGCGATAAAGCCTGTTAAGTGTCTTGTCTGTATCCCACCCGCTTACGAGGTGGTTCGCTGAAGGCGCCTCGCGCCCGAGGCGAACGCTCACCTTTTGTTGCCCCGCTGCGTAGGCACGACCAAAGGGCGGTACGGCGTCCTAGTGCGTGGCCTCGCTACGCCGACCCGTCTCCCTTCGAAGCCAACGCGAGCCCCTTTGCCTTCGCTCGAGCAACCGGGCCTTTGTTCCGGTGTCTCCGTGGATCACCTTTACCGTGGAGACGTGCTCGTGGCTCCCTGTGTAGTACTTTGTGCCCGTGGCGTGGATAAGCCTACTTGCTTTCCCGCCGCGCCTTTTTGCAACGGGCTGTACTGCGTTTGGTGTTGCCACAATAAAGTGTTGCGACTTGAGCAGTATCGTATTTTCGCCACGGCAACGGTTAACGCCTGCCCTGCGGCTCGCTAAGACCGGACCCACGCTGGTGGCCGTACTCCTTCGGGATACGTGTACACCACAAGTGATGCTTCATAAATGACTAATTTATTTATGTACCATAAAATTTTTAAGGGCATCACAAAGTGGTTAACCAAACACTGCCATGATATGCCTTTTCAAAAGATACAAAATTCACACTTCACTGTGATCAGTAGTCGTGACACTGCTGAATGCTAAGCGGAATTGCCAAGCCATAAACAGGTGATCAGAGCACAAAGGCCCATGGTAGAAATATCAATTTATTTTATTTTATTCATGCTGTCAGAATATTCCGAGACAATAATTACAGTGAAACCGCACGAGCGAAAACAAGGGACCAGACGAGCAGTAACAGCACGTACACATGACACTGTTTTTTTACTGCTAGTATGAACCAACTAGCCTAAAGGTACGCCTTGAGAACACAGGAGTTTGTGTTACATCGCCGTCATGCATATGCATTGTACGTGTTTCAACAACTTCAGTGAAGACACTACAGAAGGACTTCATATTAAAATAACAAAATAAGTAAAATAAAAAAGTAACATGTCAGAACACATTCCGTACATGCCACTGAAGTAAAACTGAGAAACGCTACTGCAATATAATACATTGAGCATGTGCAACAGACGGGCAACCAATAATAAGCTGCTCGGCAACATTCAATGTCACATGCACGATAAAGCACATGCACAATATAGCTTTGAAACTTACCACGGGAGACCATCCAGAAGCACTTTGGTGTACCTAAGGTGAACAAGGAAGGCCATCTTAAGGCAACAGAGGTACAGCCCTTACCACTTAGGAGGCATATTAAAATTGCTCTATGCATGCAATGCCTATCACTCTCCACAAAGGGAGAGCAATGTACAGAAACAGTGTAAAGCTGAATTACGCCAATGTTTTGGCTGAATAGCAATACCACAGGATGAAAGGGAGTTTTAGAAACAGGGGATGCTATCAGCCATCCACGCACACAAACGTAGAAACTGTGTAAAGATGCTCAGCTTCGAGTATGCAAGGTCGCTTGTGGACATTAGTGGCCTAATATTGTAGTTCTAACGTGAACATGACGTATGAATCTTAGACACACACAGCACATTTTTGTCTGTGCATGTTTGTACTGCAATAAAGACATTCCTGATGCAAAACTATCAAGTTACTCTCTCTATGTTTAAAAACCTCGCTGTAAGCAATGTCTGCACTGGAATACAGAGACACTAACCTGTTCACCTTCAAGGCCCAATATCTTTGGCTGCGACGGACCGCAGATGTCCACATCCAAGACTGCAACCTTAAAGTGCAGGAAAGTGACATCACAGAACGAGCTAAGCAAACCGGGATAAGAAAACCAGAAAGGCAAATGAGTCAGCTTGGTTTACTTCACAACAGAGTGCATGCATAATCTGACACTAAGGTTCGGAATGCCCAAGCGTGATGTTTCCTGTAAAAGGCACACATTCTGCTCATGGGGCTCCCTTTTTGCATCTTTAATCCGCAACCTTTGATTTTGGTAGTGGTGTTGGGGGTCTTTAAAGAGGCCCTCACATTAAGCAACTACAGGTGCATCATAAAAAACTAGCAAAGAAATAAAACCGAACACAACCAGCCTATTTTTCACCTAATTAAAACTGCATGAAAAAGACAACACATTAAAAACATGGAACGCTCACACATGACGTGCAGATTAACAGTGTGTTCAAAATCAATTAACCACTAGCCCAACAACATGCCTGCTTTTTATTTTTCAAGTTGTCCAAGTTTGTGATTGGTTTCCAAAAGCGTTCTGCTTGCATGATAAAACAGCACAACTATTCAGGTTTCAGGTTGAAATACTGCCTTTCGTTCACTTTAGAGCACACAAGAAACGTCTTGGGTATCGTTTGGTTCGGCACTTTTTCACAAACCAATCTCCCTTACCTGGTTCAATTTTTGTCGTGAGCCAAAGTGCCGATATGTTACCTTAATGACGCAAGTTTCAGAGCGCAGAGATGAGCAAAGTTAGGGTGGACAAAGCACCATGCGGCCAATGGCACTAAGGTGCCACATAATGGTTGTTGCTGAAAGCGTTGCAAAGCAATGTGCATAGCACTGTCATTCGAACGCTCTAGTGTTAGCCTTAGACATTGTACCTGAGCTTGTTTGGGCCATTACGGTGCAGAAAAAACTATCCACCTGAAGCGATTTTTTCCATTAGAACACAACAAAAGCAATGTTTACTGTTATTCTACCCCACTTTTCTGTGAGGTTTTGTTTCCTTTTCAACCTTTAACAAACATCACACTCCTATCATCTTTTTTTTTTCTGCAAAAAGTACACTGAAACTAAAAAAGTTAACAATAATAAGAGACCACTGAAGCTTCCCCACCTTGCACTACAATTCTGAAAAGCTTGTTATTGCACGCAAAAAATATTGCATCTCCCAGTATGATAGCTGGGGCCAAGCGCCTCATAATCTTTCTGACAACACTCAGCAACTACCACTGTACGATAAAGAGGTGAATTCCAGGTTCTGAACAGACATTACATTGCATGAACAAATGGGCCTTTGTTATTGGTTTACAATCAATAAAAAATGTACACACATATCGCCAAGGGTAAGGTAACTGTGGTCTATCCTTACATTGGGCTCCTTGTCAGAGAGAGCCAGTCCACTGGCCAGAAGGGAAGTAATGCTGCTCTTCCCAACGCCTCCTTTGCCAGATAGCACAAGAACTATGTGTTTTACTGCCAATAGTCGTTGGGCTATCACAGCAATATCTGAAAAACCAGAAAATAACAAGAATATCTAGGGCTTTATGACCCAAAAGCCTTATATGAGCGACACCATAGTAGAGGGCTTCAGAAATTTCGGCCACCTGGTGTCCTTTAACGAGTACTGACATGGCACAGTAAGCGGACCTCTGCCGTTTCACCTCCATCGTGAAAGACCAGAAAGAAGAAAGCAACTATTTTAAATGTGTAAGCATCTTTTTGGACAAGAAAGCCGCGTGTCGGTTTATCTATTCCGCTGTCGTGCAAGACAGATCACCGTAAAAAAATAAGCGCACGAAACACAACTAATGGCCAAACCCCATAAACAGGAAAATGCACGTGACAATGAGCGATGCTATAATGGACTAAACAGGGCGTTTACACGACGTGATACTTTTGGTGCGATCGCTCGATTCTCCGGATTTCGAAACCGTCGCCCATCGTCCGGAGGCGCTGTGCTGAAAGTGCCAAAACAGGATGTACATGACTGACGCACCGCCGGTTTTCTCCATGTGCCGCGAAACCGCCACCTCCTCTCGTGCTCATCTCCGTACGAGTCACATGTGCGTAACGTGCTCATCTCCGTCCGAGTCACATGTGCATAACGAAGAAATAACATAAGGTTTATGCACAATCATATAAAAGAAATGCTGCAAGACAATAATAAACCCCTGCTGTTCCATTATAGAACAACACATGCTACTTTTACATTGCAGATTGCCAACTACGTGTAATTTTTGGTACGAGTAGACGGCCTCATGCCGGCAACAATGAAGTTCGCTCACCGAAGCCATTGCGTAAATGAGGTTTGCCTGTGCAAGCGACTGTTCGTGCGAAGGCAATCTACGTCGCTGTCGCGAGCATTTTCACAGCTATGAGGTTTGGCCTTAAAACGCCTTAGCGATGCTCTAATTTAAACCTTGAGCCCCTCGGCCGAAGGCGATTTCTTCAACTACTGCAATATACATATACACACTCACAGAATGCCAGTCCGGATTCTCTTCATGGTGGGTGACAGTGGAAGTGCTGCCCACCGCTCTATTTTACTGCACACCACTTTTAACCAACTGGCATGTACCCCCACACTTTCAGCAGAGAGTCGAGAGCAAAACGTGCACGTAGTGCAAAAAGCTTGTACAGGTAATTTTAGTCGCACAAAAATCACTAAGGCTATGCTGTGCCAGCCACAGGGTGACAATGTTTGTCAACACAGGAATTCATGCACTACTAATGGCTTATTTAAGAAATATCTATTGTATGAAAATCCAGTCTTGTCAGTCAGACATTCTTGCAGATCATTTCCTGAATGTAGCATTATAAATAATTATTGGGGCTTAGCATCCCATTACCATGATATGCTTTAAGAGAGGCCCTAGTGGAGGGCTCCAGAAATTTCATCCACCTGGAGTTTTTTATGTGCACCTAAATCTAAGCACATAAGCTACCAACCTTCTGCCTCCATAAAATGCTCGTAAATGTAAGTGTTTGATTTTATGCATAAATAATCACACTGTCACAGTTGTTAGTCGTAAGCACAACAGAGGAGGAAGAAGCCAGCCTCACGAGTGGCAGTCTCTGGCGTTTTTCGAAGAAGACGACGTTGCTGGCTTCTTCATCCTCTGTTGTGCTTATGGCCAATAACCGTGACAATACCATTCCTTGTTTATACAGAATTGGATGGGGTCATGTTGAAAAAATGCATAGGGTTGGTGTTGGTAAACATGTATTTGGGAGCGAGTCCATCTGAATTTGAGATCATATGGGGCTGGGTCATGAAAGAATTTCGGAAAGAGGACAAGAGGTTTGCAGATCTTGTATAAGCAAGGTAGTGGGCCAATCTGTCTCGGTAAAAACTTGTACCTTTATTTTTTTTAATAGTGCCATCCACTTCCAATGGCATTAGCTTACACTCTGTTGAAGGGGTAAAACCCGCATGACACGACGAAAAAATAGAAAGAGTTTAGTTTCAAATCTCTTGCCTCAGAAAAGCATTTCGGACCCATCTCTTTTATGACCAATGTAGTTATCTATGGACAGCTTATGGCAGTTTCGAAACTATATGCCAGCAGGGTCCAATATTCGCGCCTTCGTCACCCGGGGGTGGCGCCAGGATCTTTTTTTTTTAACGAGGGGGGGGGGGGGAGCACCCGTGAAAAGTGGGTTCTTTCAGGGGGGGGGGGGGGGGGGGCAGGTAGGCTGGGAACATATGCGTTGTGTTTTGACTATACTTGCTTTTGGAGAGGTGGGGCAAAGCGAAAGCTAAGGAAAAGGAAGCTTCAACCCCCCCCCCCCCACCCCCCCTACCTCTGCTGGCGCAGCCCCCTGTCGTCACCGCAGGAAAAAAACAGACCAGTCGTGTTCCCGTTCTACGGCTAACACCTTAGTCTTTCATGTTCTTCGAGCCTTGACATTGTTGACAAACCAACCTAAGTTTATGTTACTATTACTGTACTATTACGATTATTTATACTATTACTGCTGTCGCCAGACGAAAATTCTCACCTGGGTCCGGTCCCCTAGCTGCCCCTGACGCGCACAACCTCTGATTGGGACATCCCGCGCAAGAAGCTGCCTTGCCGGCACAGTCGCTTCGCGTGCCGGGGCAACCTGCGTAATACGTCGGTCATGGCATGCGAGCGATGAAATTGGACCCTCTCTTCTCGAAGGGGAAAAAAAAAAACATTAGCAAGGATACTCACTCGCCGGGGCATCTGCAGGAACATCCGCCATGCTCACCTACTTGAGGGATTGGATTGGCTATTCGTGGTAGTGTATGGCTTGCGTCGCAACGTATTTTGCATTCGCGACAAATTTGGCGCGGTAGGAATTTTATTTGCCTGCGTTGGTCGCTCGTAGCAAGGAGAGTTCAAATTTCCAGCCAACTACCTGGGTAGTAGAGCTTTCGCAGTGCGGGCAGGGCTGAACAGCAGTGATGAGACCGAGTACATACCTTATAAAAAAACGGCCCATTACGCGCTGCCATGGTCTTTTCTGGGCTGCTCGAATGGGCGTGATCCTCCAAAAATGCATTGCCGCCTTTGTACTCCCGCGCGCAGCCCAACATGGCATAATATGGAAATATATGAGCGCACAAGGTAGAAGGAAAAGCACTTGACAGGAAACACGCTCACTTACCACTGAACTTTTATTAGAAAACATTCATTGCACGAGAACACAAACGCGCCGGCGCAACCAACTATAACTTCAAGGTTCTAACCCCCTCCTCCTCCCCCCCCCCCCCCAAAAAAAAAGAAGGCATACATTTATCTACTTCTACAGCTCAAAAAAAGACACCTCTTTTTCACTTATTGCTACCGAAGGAACACAGATACACGTGCTTGCGTTCGCCCTAATCTGTTCTGCTCCCATGATTTCTCTGGTCAGTTTGTGTTTTGATTTGCCCACGATTCCCGTGCCGCCAAACTGCGAACTGTGTATCAGTGGTCCTTCGGTAGCAATAAGCGAAAAAGAGGTGTCTTTTTTTTTTTTGCTGTTCTTCTTTTTGAGGGGGAGGAGGAGGTTGGATCCTTGAAGTGATAGTTGCGCCTGCGCGTTTGTGTTCTCGTGCAATGAATGTTTTCTAATAACAGTTCAGTGGTAAGTGAGCGTCTTTCCTGTCAAGTGCTTTTCCTTCGACCTTGTGCGATCATATATTTCCACATTATGTTTTACCAACTGGCCTAGCATTCCACTTTATTGAACCAATATGGCACCTAACTGCGCTTTCGATGACACTTTGAAATGGTCAATGTTACGAGCACGGTCGTTCGTTTCCTTACGGTACGATTGAGTCATGCACCGAGTACCGAAGCAGGCAAGCAGTTCAGAAGGAAATGCACATGAGCGCGCCGGCGTGCACAATAAGGCTCCCTATTTCCGAAGCGTGGAAGCTTGGGCAAGTTGGTAGGACATAACTGAATGCAGGAACAGCGCAACCTAGAAGTAGTTACTTCGTAACTACGGAAGCGAAAAAACAAGGACAGAAAAGAGCGCTGACTTTCAACAAAGATTTAATGCCGGAGTGGTGTACATATATAGGCGAAAAATGAGAAAAATGGGCATGCGTAAAAGGGTGCAGGAACAACTACTGCGATACAATGTGTTTTTCGCTTCCGTAGTTACGAAGTAACTACTTCTAGGTTGCGCTGTTCTTCATTCAGTTATCTCCCTATTTCCTTTTTAGGTACCTAGATGAAACTTGCTTTACCTAGGGGCCTTTATTGTTGCCTTTGTGACTGCAACGCCAGAACGCTAAGGGTAGTGGATATAAAAAGCAATAATGAGACGGGGTCGATCAAAATGGCCAAAATGAAAACGCGATGCGCGCGTCTGCTCTTTATAAAACATGCGTGGCGCAACTGATACAAGCAATCCTTCCCTCCCTGCATGAGTGGGCATGACGGACGTGTCTCTATTCTATGCGCCCCTTACGGCCAATGTCGGCGAACTCGGGACGGGCAAGCGCGAGATACGCAGCTCCCTCTGGTCACCTAAAGAGTTGACTCTCACGATGGTTCCTTTGTTCAGTGGACCGTGCCTATAGCGAAACTCAAGCGTACTCCGATTGCTGTGTATACTTTCGTTTGTCGGCGACTCCCAACGCCTACACAAGGGCCAACGTTACCTTCGGCGGCCCTATTTGTGGTCACTCAAGGTGGTCATTATTTAGGTTATTTTAATATATCCTATAGTCGGTTACAGCCTAAGAATAAATATACGCCCCGCCCACAGAGGACGCTGTCCTACTCGGGCGAAATTCGCACGAATGTCCCACTAATTGCAATCGCTCATTCGCGTGACGCCAGAACCCGTCACGTATTTCAGGCACACGACTTGGCCGTACAAGCATGCGGTCACTTCGATAGTTTTCGGTCGATAATTTTCACTTAATTCTCGGCGAATTTCCTCAAAACTTTCTCGACTTCATTGCTCAGCGTAATGCAACATTCCAACAAGACACGACGATTTAATTCGTATGTGTAGCACTTGAATCATCAGCGAACATGCGCTTACGGTTCGAACGGTAATCGCCAATCGTTGCTCTGTTGAACAGTGAATGACAGGCGCGCTGCAGTACTGGGGGCGGAGCGCGTATTTATCATTCGGTTGTAACCAAAAGCGTTGCAAAAGCTTGTTGTTTCGCTTTTCAATCCTTGATTGCTATGGTTACTCGCTAATCCACTTACCGCGCACCTCGGGCTTTTTTATCTTCCATCCACGTAGCGACGACTTCGTCGGGAAGGCTGGACTCACTTATAGCAGATTTCGCTGTGCAGTTCCACAACTAAATTGTCACCTTAACAAAGCTCGACTCAAGGCGTCACCGCTATGCATTTGGTGCAACGAAATTGAAACAATTGAACATTTCATTATATTCTGTCGTTATTCTTACCGGAGAAAAAGATATTTAGTAGCCCCATTACAAAAGCGAGGAATACAAGTAAATCTACCAGTAATTTTATCACTTGGCAGAACTTCATTTGGTTACTGTCACAGGGATATATGCTCCACTGTGTTTGATTACATCAACGCAACTAAAAGATTACCGTGCTAGTGAACCCTAACCTTTTCAGATCTTTAGTTCATAATTCGTAGCTATGTCTCAAAAACAAGAGATGGTTTAACCGCTTGCTCAGCAAACATTTTTGTTTTTTTTGGTAGTATTATTTTTAAACTACTTTTTCAGATTGGCTTCATTTTCATTTTAGTTTCATTTAAGTATCCTGCCACCCGGTTCTTGGCCCATCCCTCTCTGTGGGTAAGCGCCATCCATCAGAGGTCATCATCATCATCAAGGCTGGACTGCACTATAACAATCCATGACCCGCTGCACGGTCTAGTCGAGTGTTGAGACAGGCTGTAGTGTTGCGTGAAGCAAGATTGAAAACTGCGCTAGTAGGTGAAGATTAGTGGCTTACAGCACAAAACACCCGAACATAGACTAGAAATGGAGAAGGTACAGCGCTGACCTGCCCTTCTATTGGCTCCGAGTGCTACGTATGGTGGCTAGAATACCTCTTCAATTGGCCTAAACTGCTGCCGTGGTATCAAATAAACCAGCCCATGCACTTTCCCTTAGGGCAGCCTGTCTTTTTGGGCACGGAAAGGCGCAGGGGCTAGCAATCCACCTACTACAATCCAATTTATGAAAAACATGTTTCTACGGTTTGTCATGGCGGACTGCACGGGCTACTTGAAGCTCCCCGTGGGGATGGCCCAAGACTCCCCACATGAAGTCTGGGTGTTTGAGGAATTATCAGCAACTTATACAAAAAAAATTTCACCTTCTTTGTCGAAGCCTGCAGGCGGACAGCTGTCAGACATTGTGACAAAAAAATTCATCGAGTAGAGCTCAGGGAAAATGGCACCTACAAGATGAACAAGTAACACCGCATGCTACGGAAAAATTGCAACGAGTACATTACTAAGTCACTGAATAGAGTAAGTTACGGGCAATGCTGTTACTTGTAATACGATAGCACCAAGACTTTTTGTTGCACTCTTGCATTTCCATTGCATATTGCAGTGACAATGCCCTTCATGTCATTTTCAGGTCTACAAAAAACGCCAGGCGCAGCACAGTCCCAGCGAAAGCTAGAAGAGTGGCCTTTCAGAGCGTTTTCTAAACACTCGTCAGATAACTGCTGCAAGCACACTTGCTTGATATCCACTACGGCATTAATAAAAATGTTTTTTGTAGAAAGGTGGCATTCGCTGTGCTATTTTCCGAGAAGCGTGGTATCCGCTAAACACTTGCAAGGAATTTTCTGCCAATTGTTCATGCAGTGGCCGACGACGAATATTGCCTGAAGTCTGTATGCGCCACAGTTTATAGGTGATCAAAAACAAGCTTTTGTAATGGGTTGGAGCATCAGACGACCCACTCGTTACGCTTCACAATGTGTGACACCAGGTTGTTCCTTTGCTGTTATAAAACGCTTTATTACCCGAATTAACGAGATTCCCTTCCCAACATCAAGCCTTCCAAGGAAAGTTTACGTACAAGTCCCAAGCACCGGCGTGGCTCAGTTGTAGTATGCTGGGCTGGCATGCAGCATACCTGGGTTCAAATCCGCTGTGTCCTTGGTACATGTAGTTTTTTTCCCCCCTTATTTCGTCTGATAGTGGCTACGGACAACAGTGGACAAGTACGGCAGAGCGTGACCCAAGTTTTTATCTCATAACGGCTTTCACTGTAAAATGTCATCCCGACAAGTGCACTGCGTCAGGCCAGAAGACAAGCTCCAGGACACAGAGCCTCGCGAGACAAGAAGCAGAGTGGGACCAGAGGGAGGCACATATTACACAAACCTTTAATGCCTGAAAGTTGACTGCTATTACAATACAATAAATCCGTAACACATCACAAGGTTGTTTTTTTTTTTCTCAGTATCTTTGTCATCATCCAAGTACGGCCAGCATCATTCTCAGCGCGTATATAATATGTATATATAATAAAACCATCTACAACTTTCACGTGTGTGTTTATGTGTGTTTGGTGTGAGAAGGCCCCTGAATAAGCAAGTTCTTCCACGTCGAACACTGAAGCCCCCCAGACAAAGCGAGGGGGCTTGGGATTTGAACTAGCAGTCTGAATCACATGTTGGGTTCCCCGCGGTGCCGTGTCCTTAAATCTATATGTACCCTTGGTTTGTCAAGTGTCACATGCATTTTTTTCTTTTGTTGCTTCCTTGTCACACACACCTCGACAACAGTGGTAATTAGTGGTAATAATACACAGTATTGGTGGTGGTGGA